AAAAAAAGATGAACCTATTGATTTTCAACAATCTAAGATTATATATTATTTGCCCGAAAAAAGCTTATGTACACGATTATAATGTCATGATTTTTATCTGATATGAGAGCTGTGAGTACGGCGCTGGCCCGCCAACGAGAAGGTCGCGGATTCAAACCCTGTGTTAGCCGGGAAAGTTCCTTGGGATTTTCCGGTATGGTGTTCAATTGTCAGTGTGCAGAATGGAGGGTCTGTCTAGGCTAGGACGAAAAACTGAGGTCCCGTGTACACATTGGTTTGTACCTTAAAGAACCCTCGATAGTTGGAATTCAATTACTGTCCGGGCAAAACGTCCCTTACAGCATACTGTGTGGCGTATGCCGGTCTTCACCATTGCGCTAGGTGCGGAAATGTAAGACATTAAACCTCGATTAACTCAATCATTCTTATTTTGGTAAGCACACAAAAAGGTGATAAAGATCCCATAGAAAGAAGGGGGTGCGTAAAATTTACAGCTATTGTAAGGTAACCAGGGGCAAAGGGCCTCAGTGAAATTTTCATCCAGGGGTCCCATGCAAGCTTAATTCAGCCTTGGTAGAACGTTAACCCATAGTCCAGTTCTATTTAAAGGTTGAGTGAGTGAAATGGGATTCGAGAGAGCAGTGTTGACAAGTTATACAGGGGAGACAACTATATTTTAGTCCTTCTCTGTGGCGCCGCTGTCTTTCAGACAACAGAGTTCACGTACCCAGAAAATACAATTACTATTGATATTTTAATCTCATTCTATTATACAGGCTTTCAATTTCAATTCACGTGGACGTATATGCATGCTCCTTTGACAAGAGCATGTTAAAAGAAAATAAGAAAAGATTTGGATAACTAGGCCGACAGAGTATTATCCTACTTACAGCAGCGCGTTCGAAGGGAGAATTTAAGTTTTAAAGGTAAGTGTTGGGGCAGAATAAGATACGATAAGATAAGATTTTATTGTATCTAAACACCCCATAAGAGACAGCATACAAATACAAACAAAACATTAAATAATGACAATAATAAAAAAATAAACAAAAAAACGAGTAAGTTACACAGAGATATATAAGCCTACTTTTCAAAAATACCCAGTTGAAAATACACCTATGCATGGTTTTCAGATAATTGAACTAAGTTTGGTTTTATTTGTTAATATTTAAACAAATATTTTTATATTTATTTTCTAGGTGATTCTCTCCCTTGAATTGCAAATCGTGGACTTCTTAAATTCAATAGAAATAATGGTTTTTACATGTATAAGCTACTTTTATTACAATCTGACAGGTGTCTGTAGCTTACAAAGGGATATAATTCATTTAGATCTAATACATGTAAACTAGATAAATAAATCGCTCAGTGAGCGTCCTTGTCACCATGGTAGCATAAAACCCACATTGCCACACCCCCTAATAGGTATATATCTACTTGACAAAAGCTGTCATAATTCCCCTCGGCTAGGTTGGTGTAAATGCTATCTCGTTTGTAAACAACAGTGATTGTTTCATAATGGCGACCGGAGCAGCCAACCCAACAACGAAAGCATTAAAGAATTGTAATTACGTGGCCCAGGATCAGATATGGTATGTATTGAACAAATAAAGGAGATTTTAATAAGTTTTAAAGAAACGCAACAACAATCCGGTAGATTTAATCAAAGTGTAAAGGATGTAGGTTATAACTTTTGCATACAATACTTCTATTTTATTTCGAATACTACGAACATGACGACGAGGGTGACTTTATTTACATGATTAAGGAATTTTTCATATCGGGTTTCTTTGTTTAACCTGCCAAATTTTAAATAATAATTTTTTAAGAATGGAGATCGTTATGGATTTTGATAGTCCCTAGAGATTTATAATATCTTAAATAATATTTTTAAAGAAAGGAGATTGTTATGGTAGTCCCTCAAGATTTGTAGTAAGGTTGTATTTGTTTATTGCAGGAAGGATCATGTGACAGGAGAAATGATAGCTGCTAAAAACTGGCCAGATAATTGGGACTTTTTAAATAACAAATACGAAGACGTGAGTGTTTTGATTGTACTGTATATTATGCTTCTTTACTTTCTACTCAAATTGTCGAGACATCCACTTGGGCAGTCAATTTATCTTTATAAGATATATTCAACAACTGTATTTAATTTCAAAACACCCCAATAACCTGTTTTAATATACTTAAAACATTTTGTGCCCACGAACCCCACAACTACTCCATAGACACCAGTTTTTAAATTATGTATACGCCACTGATCTTGTCTTCTGTATGCCTATTGATAATAAAGAACAGAATGAAATGTTTATGGGAGTCTACACTACATAATATGTATAACTGGAATCTCAATCACAAATTATACACGACTCTGCAGCCAAGACTATAATCTAGAAGGTGTTAGACGAGAAAATTTCCCGGGATTTTTCAGCGTGGTTTCACCATGTCCGCCGTGCAGGATGGGGAGCCTGGCAAAAAAAAAGTGTTTAGTCTCTCGTATGGGACTAAACAACGTGTACACGTTAGCTTGCACGTAAACGAAACCTTGACCGTTGAAATTCGACTAAGAGTAGGCATAAATGCTGCTATCCGGGCGAAATCTTCCTGATTGCACACCATATGGCGTATTACCGCCTTCATTGCATTGGCCCAGTTGGTGCCGAAAAGTAGGACGTTAAACCTCATTCCATTTCCATCCATTACCCCCCGGAGGTCAATTATTCTGGTATTTTGTCGATCGGATTATATATTGATCAATCAGTGTATGTGACAAGGCTATTTAATCATATCAAACCAACTTAACGACCTTTCAATCTTTGTCAACTGGACAATAATAAGATCGTACAGTTCATTCCGCTAAAGGTTACACCCAGTAATTTAACTGGATCCATTCTGCTTGTTATTTAATTAAAGAAATTGTATTTTTCGTGTTGAAAACTTTGTGGTTTCAGAAATATAACATATTTTACTGTTAGTAAAGAATATTTTTGTCTGTTATGTTGAGCAAGGCTTCTGTTGTCCAAAGGCCAGTTCGTTATATTCAAAGTGGTTATTCGAATGTAGGCTTTTGTGGCGGGTTAGCAATCCCCTAACCAACAGTTACTGTCCTTCGTTTCGGATGATTCTCGGTCTGAATCCATAACCATAGATATCCTATAAAGATAGGATATCTATGTCCATAACCGGAGCATGGGGGAGGGAGGGGGGGGGGGTGTTCTCGGACATTCGCAGTCGGGGATTTTTTTTGTGTGCGCACCGAACCAGGGTTTATGGAGAGTGCTACTTAATGTAACTATAGCATAATCGGGTCTCTTTTGATCCGAAAATTGATTTAACAGAAATAATAAAATCTCCTTTACATACCTGTTTCTTTCAGTTAGTTAAAGACGACTTCCCACATATAAAAGACAAAAAGAAGTCCTGTGCGAAACAAGATCTGACGTCACTGGTGCGAGTTAAACCCGTGACACCCATCGAAGAGTATGTTCACGTACAACCCTCCCCAAGACCATTTCCTAAAACTACGTCCCAAATGGTTGGATGGCGATCTGGACATCGGGACATGGCCTTAGAGAAATATGGAGGATATTCACGACCAAAAGGTGGGCTTGTAAAACAACTCAACTGGCCAAATGAAGCGGTTAGCTAATCAGCTTTGTTTTCGACAACAGAGCAAAAGGTCTTCGGCAATAATTATGAACTTGATGCAAAGGAATATTCTGATACCCACTCGAGTCTTTTACAGTTTTGTGTATTTATTTCCCCCACAGTGATAATTTTGTGCAATTGCAAATGGTGTTTGAAACTTATTAAACATTTCAAAAGAGTAAAGAGTCCCCCCCCCCCACCCCTTCCTTTTAATGTTCAGATCTGATTATAATGTCGTCCTCGTTAGTCTTATTTATTTTCTATGTATATGTATATATTAAATAATTTTAAATTGAAACAAAGTATTTAAAACTCTATTTTCTTTGACACGTGGGAGATAACTTTACGCTGTTCCCATGGCAGAGCCGTTTACGGTCTCTCAGTGAAAGGGTTTCGAGAAACGACTTTTCGAATATTTCACAGTTCGAACCCCGATTGGACGTTAACATTCATGTTCAGAAGATTTGCCAAAGTCGTGGGTTTTCTCCGGGGTTTCCTGCCATTTATTGTACCTTATGTCGGTCGCTATCTCCCTTCTCTCAACCGAGAATGACTTGCCTATAGTATATAATATACTTTATGTCTTATGTTTTTACCAAACCAGTATTCTTTCTCGTGTATATTAATTAAACCGTTCATACATGACAATGTGTCTATTGTTGTACTATAAATTAGGAACTATATATTAGAATATTATCCCTAGTGTATATATAGAGAGATCGTTCATATTGTGCTGACAGTGCCATAACCTCGCGCGGCAATTATATAGGAAGAAAAAAATGATTAAGACCGAAGCGGCGAAACGAAATGAAATGAAATGGTGTTCAACGTCCTACTGTTCTGCTCCTATACTGGGCTAATGAAGACGGTCATACGCCATACAGTGTGCTATGAGGGAAATTTTGCCCGTGCAGCGGCACTATCGCCTACTCTTTTATCGAATTCCAACTGCCAAGGGATCTTTTACGTGCATTCCAATGTATACACGGGACCTCGGTTTTTCGTCTCATCCCAATGTCTAGACAGCTGTCTTTGTCAGGCCGTCCGTCCTGCATTACTGACAAGGGGAAACCACGCCGGAAAATCGGGATGAACGCGGCGAAACGAATCTCGCCAATAAAATATCCAATTAAATCCCAATGAATCACGAGTACTTTTGCAATATGTTGAAATGATGAAACAGGGCTTAACGTCCTGCTTTTCTGCACCGACTGGGCTAAGGTAGACGCGTATTTTCGACTTATGAAACTTAATCGCGACAGGAGCAGCGATTCTTGGTGCGGTCTAAAGGATCGACTTCTTGAACAGTTAGACAAGCAAACAAAACATAAAAAAAGGAAACTCGATCATAAAATATGCTTCTTTAGTATTTGAAAGGCTTTATTTACGGGGAAGCAGTTGTAGTAGTTAAATCTTCTGCTGTTGAAGTAGTCTCATCAACTGCTGTTGAAGTAGTCTCATCAACTGCTGTTGTAGTAGTTTCTGCTAATGACGATGTTGTTTCCATTGCTGCTGAGGTTGTTGTTTCAACTGCGGATGTAATGTCGTCTGCGCTGGACGTTGTGGTTATCATCGCTGATGTAGTGGATTCAACACCAGTTGTTGTTTCTTCTTCTGTCGATGTAGTTGTGGTCATTATCATGGTCGTAGTATCGGGTATAAATGTCGTCGTCTCATCCATGCCACATGTTCCACACAAAACACATAGTACTGTTGAGAATAAAAATATAGGCAATTTTATTAACTGCAAAGGGGGCAATTTATGAATTAATGTAGAATGGCAACTTCTAAAATATATTAACGACCCGGACCCGGTAGACAGTATTTTCTTCTATAGGCACGTTGCCTATCACAAGCAATTTTGCTTTAAATTTTAGTCGTATCTGGGAGCATAAATAATCTGCAATAAACTGTATTTTATGCTTCTAAAAATATTATGTAATATTTTACTGACATCAGAAACAATATTACGTGTCTTGTAATGGCAATAGAAATGTAAACATTAGCTTGTAAATATAAACCAGGAAGGTGAAATGAAATGAAATGGGGTTTAACGTCCTACTTTTCGGCATCGACTGGGCTAATTAAATGGAGTTTAACGTCCTACTGTTCTGCTCCGAACTGGGCTAATGAAGACGGGCATACGCCATACAGTGTGCTATGAGGGAAATTTTGCCCGGACAGCGGCACTACGGCCTACTCTTATATCGAATTCCTTCTGTCAAGGGATCTTTTACGTGCACGCAAATGTGTACACGGGACCTCGGTTTTTCGTCACATCCGAACGACTAGACAGCTGTCCTTGTCAGACCTCCATCCTGCATCACTGACAAGGAGGAACCACGCCGGGAAATCTGGATGAACTTCCTCGGCCAATGTAGGGATCGAACACCCGACCTCCAGGCTAACGAGCCAGCGTCTTACCCACTTAGCCACCGTGACCCCCTGGGCTAATGAAGACGGGCGTACACTGTGTGCAACTGCCTACTCCTATTTCGAATTCCAGCTGTGATAGGTTCTTCTACGTGTACTCGGACCCCGGAATTTTCGTACCATCCGAACGACTAGACCATGTCCTTTCCAGGCCCTCTGTCCTGCACCCACTGACAAGGGGAACCCACACTGGAACTTTATCAATCAACACTAGGATCGAACCCCGGACCACCTTACTCACTCACTTAACCATCGCGGTTCCGTAAAACCATGAGGTAGAATAGAACAGAAATAAGCATTGGAGATTGGTCAATATTCAGGAATATGTGACCAGAAACGATAAATCAAAATGGCGTACCTGGGTCGTTACAGTATATACTGATCCCTGAAGGCGGTGGTGGTGGTGGTGGTGGTGTTGTTGAAGGACAAAAAATATAAACTAGAAAAAGTATACAAATGTTTACATTCACTAGATATATGCATTATTCTACAAAGATGTGTAAAATGGGAAAAAATAGCACTACACAATCTGATATTAATCATTAAAAAAATAGCCATGTATAATAAAATTATCTTCAAATTTGTTTATCTGCTTCCCTTGAAATATTTGTGCATTTTCTATTTAATCTAAACATACAGCAGTCATATTGCCATTGGGTGAGGTGGGGCGGCCCAAGGTGCCCGGTGACAAGACAACAAACAACTGACGCACTATAGCCGTTTGGATTGGGCTAATTAGTAGTGCACAAGTAAATAGTTCTTACGATACATTTTAATATTTCACTGAAATGTCTTTACTATTTTAAGGTTTGTTTGTAACAAGTTAGATATCGATACAAATCCGTACTCGCAAGTAGGCCCTATCACACGGGGATTATCCAGTTTCAAATCCTAATGAAAATCACCCCTTCTACTTTCGCCCCAGTGATTTTCCAGAATCAATTCAAATACGTTGAAAATAACCGGAATGTATCGAGGACTGTCCATTCAAAGAAGATTATAATGCATTATATTGGGATTGAGACGGGTTCAAGTTACAACAGCTTCACTGTTGGCTTGTTTCTGCAATAAGGTCGCACTCCATTCAACATAAATGTCTCTTTTTTTTCATCAACAATCAACAACGTAGGGAGGATATTTGTACGGCAGCAACACCATTTTATCTGTCAAGAGTTCTTTGACTTGTATGTATAGTGTATTAAAGATTATACATTATGTAAGATTTATATAAAGTGCTGGCCATTATTGCTATAATAGTAAGATAATGCAAAATTACTGTATTCTGAGAAAAGTTATCAGTGTTTGAAGTTTTGCCAAGATAGTCTCGATTGTCAAGAATCATTGCTGCAATAATTAACAAAGTCTCTATTATCCAATTATTACATGTCCCGGCTGTTCAATGTCACGACCATCTGCAAGTGCAATAGCCAGGTTCAACTCTTACATAATGCACCTTTAAAGGGTCAACAGTTCCCCCCCCCCTCCCCTGAATACTAAACCAGTAACATGACAAGATTACACAACAGTAATGAATATCTCATCTAATATAATCTTATGAGTCAAATTATCAATACTTACACCCTTTTGAACAGTAAATCATTCGTTTAATACGAGTATCTAAAATACAGAGAAATAAATAATAGATGTTATTATGTAAATGAATATTCATGTACAGAATATAATTCGTTGTAAAGAGTAATAAAGAATATAATTCGTTGTAAAGAATATAATTCGTATCCTTTCCTTTCAAAAGAATTGAAAAATCGGACTATTACATATATATTTTGCTGATGGGGGAAACAGTTGAGGTGGTTTCGTCTTCTTTCGCAAGTCTTTGGTCCTTTTCTTTGTAATATCGGTATAACTTATCTGAAGAAACAATGCAGGGACGTATAGCGGACAAAGCTACCATCGGTCCATTCCCAGATCGTCGACTCGCCAGATTTTAGGGGACAAATTTTGATCGGTGTGACCAAGAACAATAAACCTAAGCTGGAGGATGAAACTAATAGGCAGGTAACTTGGGGATCATTTATTATTTTTAATTTGGGGTATAACGTCCATTCCGCACAAACTAGGTCTTTTCGGGATTAACATACGGTTCAGTTTCATTTCACTAATTCGTTTGTGCGTATAGGGGTCTTTAGCAGTGGGAGGAAAGCGGAGGACCCGGAGAAAACTTACGAGGTTGGACAGGCGACCCCACTCCTTGTCACGTACAACCAGAGAATCGAAACCACACCAGTTGACTCAATGACAGACCTTATGATCCAGCGCGCATACGCTAACCATTCGCCCCACCACCCTCCATAATAACAAAGTTCCGGAATGGAGTGGTGGGTGAGTGGTTGTTGTCTATTCTGCTAACTATATCATCAATGGTAGATGCTGTAGATCTACTACATACCTGGCTTATTTTACAGCACTGCCACATCACTAAGTCTTTCTTTCCAACCCAGCAGTGCAGTTTTTACCTGACTGTCCCACAGAACGGATTTAAATTGGGTGATCAGCTATGCGCTGGGGTGCCGATCAAAAATATATGAAAAATGGAATGCATTATCCTGAAATGCAACATATAGTATCTAACTTGCCAAAATCGGGTGTCATTTAGTGAATCTTATATTTAAATGCTATACAAAGCCATATTTGTATACTTATATTTTAAAATGTTTCATTAAAAAAAAAGTTCAAATATCCTACCTGGTAAACTTGCTGAGCATGTTAAAGTTACAAAGATAAAAAGATGAAAATACGCAACAATGTCCATCTTTGTCGAGATATAAGCTCGTTATAAATATGTATATACGTAAAAGAGAATTTGTACTAATTACTAGCCGAAAATCAACAGGTGTTAATTACTAACAGTTATACCCGTTATTGACATAAAATATAACAGTCAGGTCATTAGAAAATTTACATGGTTGACCATTTCATACAAAGCAAAAACAAACAACACCAAGCATCGATAGAAATGAAGTTAAGTGAAATGAAATGGGCTAATGAAGAAGGGCATACGTCATGCAGTGTGCTGTGGGGGAAATTTTTGGCCGGACAGCGGCGCTGTGGACTACATTTTTTTTAGTTATAACTGTCAATGGTTCTTTTACGTACTTTTTCGAACGACTAGACACTGTCCATGTCGGGCCCTCCAATACAACAATGACAAGGGGAAGTCACGCTGGAAAATCTTGGGGAATTTTCTCTGGTAATACCGGGAGCGAACCCAAGACCTCCTGGTTAGTGAGCAGGGCCGTAACTAGATCGGGGGGTTGGATGGCCGAATGGTTAGCACGTGCGTGTTGTATCATAAAGCCTGTCATTGAGTCAACTGGCGTGGTTTCGAATCCCCAGTTGTAGGTGACAAGGAGTAGGGTCGCCTGTCCAACCTCGTGGATTTTCTCCGGGTCCTCCGGTTTGCTCCCACTGCTAAAGACCCCTACGCGCAAGCGAATTATTGAAATAAAATTAAACCATATGTTAGTCCCGAAATGACCTAGTTTGTGTCGAGTGGACGTTAAACCACGTCTCTAGATCAGAGCAACGGGTGTGGGGGGGGGGGTCTCAGGGGTGCTGTAAAATTGACGGACAATGTGTATCTATTGTTTTTATAGTCGACAATTTTTTTCACGGGGGTGCAAAACTTTTTGCAGGGGGGGCTTTGCCCCTCCCACCCCCTAGTTACGGGCCTGTTAGCGAGTCAGCGGCTCCCATAGATAATCCAGTCGATATAAGACAGCAGTTTATAATTCATTTTGAAATAATTTATTAAAACATTTATATGAATAAATCTACCAATTCTCTTTTCATCTTTTCAAGAGAATTTTTTTTTTTGTGCGATAGCAATGTAAACGTATATGCCCGTAATCATAACCGGCCATTCTTTTAGGGCGCAGAAACTTTCATATTCTTGAAGACCAGGTTACGGATAAGACCAAACGTGGCATCACCCACCTCGGTTGCCTTACCGTAGCTGCGAAATTGTTATAGACTCCTTGTTGAAGTCTATCGTAATATGCGAACTCTAGACCACTAGGCCACCCCAAGCTCCCTTATTTAGAAATGTGTGTGAGTTAGTTTTATTTAACGTCCGCTTCCACCGAGGTGATATTTAGAAATAATGTGGTATCCCTTTTATATTGGGGCCCCTGGCTGCAGTACAGCCCACTCAGCCACCCAACTCGCGGCTTGCAGCGGGCGTTGAAAAAACAATTCTTGCGAGTATTCGTGTAGGCCCTATTATAATTTAGCAAAGACTTGGAAGTGGATAAAAAAATTATCTTTGGGGATGACAAAACGCATTGTATTATATTATTATTTTGTGTGTACCTGCCGTAGGACAGGTCGGTGTTAACTTTAGAATAAACATCCGTTGAATACCCGTTGATAATCTACGACTCACTGATATCGGGCCATGCATCTCAGCCAATCAAAGTTGCGAGGCATCGACTTTTCCATGGTAGTTTTAGTCTATCCAGTCTTTATTGGTGATCAGAAAAGCTTCAAAAGCTTGGATGTTCAAGTCTACACAGCGGCTCGGCTGTTCACTGTCGTTTAAAATAGAACAATCGTGATATTATCTAAGGATATATTAGTTCAACCTTTGAGTTTGGAATTATTCAATCAGTTTTCAAACACACGTTCTTAATAAAAGTACTCGTTTCAAGTTCAGCATTCGTGGACCATCTCTGGGAAAGTAAATAAGATAACTCAAAACAATTCGTCTGCTGCGGATTGATATGCGCGTGCAGAACAATATCATTAAGGAGTGTTAGTATATTTATATTTCTATCTCTATAGAGACTGGAAAATAAAATATTGGAAAAGTCTTCCGAATAAATGTATCTATCAAACTTACATTTTTGACCATATGTTTTGACCATTTTGAACTATATCTTTCAACGTCACGTTATCCTGTAGGTGTTGTTCGGCTCAAAAGATAACGTGATCTCGTATGATCAATTTCTATCAACGAGTTGACCATTGTGATTGATTAATTGTTTTATTTAGTGAATAATTCAGAGTCAAGATATTTCAAGATGTTGGCTTATCTACGAGAAACTATTTTAGGAGGTGTTCTAAACAGTATTCAAGATGCCAACACGTTCATTTTAGTAACTATTGCTGTAATAATGTGCGCTTTTCTGCTTCATCGAAAGATATGGAATACTCAACCGAAAGTAGAGAATCTTCCTCCACAGATTCCGTCTTCAATTCCCTTCCTTGGGGAAGCGATCAAGTTTAATCAAAGTCCAATAGATTATCTATTAGCAGCATATAAAAAGTATGGTCCAGTCTTTACTTTTACTATGGTTGGCAAAACTTTCACATACCTAATTGGTTCAGAGTCTGCTGCCCTTTTCTTCAATAGCAAGAATGAAGATTTGAATGCAGAAGATGTTTATAGTCGTTTAACTACTCCAGTATTTGGTAAGGGTGTAGCCTATGATTGCCCAAATTCTTTGTTTTTGGAACAGAAGAAAATGTTAAAGTCTGGTCTAAACATTGCCCAATTCAAGGAACATATTCCCAAGATAATTGAGGAGACCAATAGCTACTTTGAGCGTTGGGAGCGGCGAGGACAAGCCAATCTGTTTAAAGCTTTCTCCGAACTAATTATCTTAACAGCTAGTCGATGTCTTCATGGTAAAGAGATCAGATCCCGATTAGATGAAAGTGTTGCGCAACTTTATGCAGATCTTGATGGGGGATTCACTCATCTAGCTTGGTTGCTACCTGGTTGGCTTCCATTACCAAGTTTTAGAAAACGGGACAGAGCACATTTAGAGATGAAGAAGATCTTTCATGAAGTCATTGAAAATCGACAAAAAAATGGGAATGCAGAAGAGGATATGTTACAGACTTTGATCACATCAACGTACAAAGATGGCCGACCTCTAACAGATGATGAGATTTCAGGCATGTTGATTGGCCTTCTTCTTGCTGGTCAACACACATCTTCTACAACAAGTGCCTGGATGGGGTTCTTCATATCTAAACATCAAGATATTCAACAGCAATTATATGAAGAGCAGATGAAGATATGTGGAGGCGATATCGATACCATAACTTACCAGGATTTGAAAGATTGCCAGTTACTTGACAGATGTTTGAAGGAATCATTGAGACTTCGACCTCCCATTATGACGATGATGAGAATGTGTCGAAGCCCACAGAAAGTTGCTGGTTATACCATACCAGCTGGCCATCAAATATGTGTTTCTCCTACAACAAATCAGAGATTAGAAGACACTTGGGAAGATGCTACCACTTACAATCCTGATCGTTTTCTTGATCCTGATGTAGCTAACAGTGAAAAATTTGCATATGTGCCTTTTGGAGCTGGACGTCATCGATGTATTGGTGAATCATTTGCCTACGTCCAGATTAAGACTCTTTGGTCTGTTATGTTGCGAAAGTACAAGTTTGAATTGGTGGATAATTATTTCCCAGAAATTGACTATTCTACTATGATACATACACCCAAAAATCCTATTATAAAATATACTCTAAGAGAACAATCTTGAAAACATTACTGATATATTTTAAACTTTAAAGAAAAAGAATAGACCAAATGAACTATGTTTTGACCAATATTTTAACTGCCGTGTTCTGTACTATGATGTTTAGAGAGAATGTGTTTGTTAACCTTGTAATTTATTATTGTCTTTTCTTAGATGTTTTTGTGGCTAGCTTTCTTGTTGATAATTCACAGCCACTTACTTAGTCCATGGCTCAGCTGTCATTTTATATCAGCTGCTGTGATAAAATGTTGTCTATATATATATAACGACAGATCATTAACTTTATATGTATATAAAACTGTTAAAATTTTATGTTATTCCAACTGCCAAATCATGTCATATTTGAATTTGGATCTCTTGAGAATGAAGATAAATTTAACATATTAGTATTAGTTACCGGTATAGTTACATGTATTGTTAATTGAGAAATCATTTCTATTAGTAAACTGGCAGATATTCTTGATCCTAGGCCAAAAAAACATTGATGTTGCTAAACTGAAGTTTTATTGTAAGTTAGACTAGTAGTATATGTACACTGTAAAATTGCATTAAAATTTTCCATATTTTCAGATATTGTAATTAAGTTATAAGGGTGGTTTTGCGTGTAGTGCGGTCCTCCTGCACTTACTATTAGAGTAGAGTTTTAACCCTTAGTACTGCAGAATGTTCTTGTTCTTATTATTTTAGCGTTTTCCGAGATTCTATCCAGATTATCGCCCTTATTGTTAAAATTGTTTGACGTTCTAACTCATGACGTCAACTGGCAGACTATCGCCATTGAAGAGATGACCACTGTCAAGATTGCAAGATTGGTCGCATTATTTCTGTTACGTCTTTTTTTGTAAATTATTTTTATATTTTTTTTTCATTTTTAGTGAAACCTGCACCATAACAGTCCCGGGACTGTACAGCGCAGTGGACGCTTACGACTAGCCCCCAGATCCATTCACTTTTTTTGAATTCTGCGTTTGCTTGTGATTTCTGCGTATTATGTCTTGTCTGTATATTTGTTTTTGTGTAGAATATGTGTGGTGCAGTCCCCCTGCACTTATTATTATTAAAGTGTGAGTATGAGACTACAATAGGAAATTCTGCATTAATAGTCTAATTCTAAACATGACCATTTCAAAGAAAAATCACCAAGAATTTGCAAAAAATATCATTTTATTGATAAACATATGTGCAATGTAATACTCATTAGAAATCAAAAATGTAAAATACAAAAAGAACAAAGGGGTATCAATAGTAAAATATATATATAGAGAGAGAGAGAGGAGGGAGGGAGAGGGAGGTCCATTCCACTCAAAACAAACTAGGTACTTTCAAGACCAACATTTTGTACAATTTTATTTCTATAATACACTTGCGTATAGGGGTCTTTAGCAATGGGACAAAACCGGAGAAAACCTACATGTGCAAATTTGGCATTGAAACCACAGCATTTAATTCAGTGAGAGACCTTATGGTCTAAAGGGCACTCAGCCACCCACTTCCTCATTGTTAAATAAGACTGCTAATGATATAGTTACTGGCTCATAGTCACATACATGCCATAGATTTCAGTATTATCTCTTTATCAGGTTTATGAATATTTAGTTGTAGTTGTGTATCCTTATTGCATTTTATTGAATAGATTGACCCAGTCTGTTTTTTAAAAGAAATCCTGTGCTTTAGAATTATTGCTACTTAGGTTCCATTAAATGACAGAAATTAGACATATAGATTTACTTTTATTGTAGTCTTTCTTTTCAGTCCTTGACTGTGTCTTCTAAATACTGGGTATAAGAAGGACTGCCTAAAAAGAGGGGGGGGGGGCAACTCCACTGTGTAATGACTGTAGACAGTTCAGCATATAGGCAACTCTTTCAATCCAGCTCAACATTAAACATACATTATGCAAGAACTAAATCTGCCTATTGCAGGTCTTTCTTTAGGCCAGAAATGTTATCTAAATTATTAATTAGACATTAATTAACTTATCCAGGCCAAAATAAACTCTCGATGTCATACTAGCCTGCGATATTTACTGGATTATGATTCCATTTGCTGCTCAACTTTCATTCATGATTTAATCATGAAATGAATAATTTGTAAATTTCATTCAAATTACTCTATTGCGAGCGAAGATATTAGCCTTTGAAGGTTTGTACAAGACGTGTGCAATAATTTCAACCACCATACTGGGTGTTCGAAGCTAAGTCTCGCTCCTCCATTTTTAGCTTAAATCAAAATATGGCTGAACTTTTCTAATATATTTAATATCAGAGAAATCCGATGCCATCGAGAGTTGATTATGGCCTGGATAAGTTAATTAATGTCTAATTAATAATTTAGAAAACATTTCAGGCCTAAAGAAAGACCTGCAATAGGCAGATTTAGCTCTTGCATAATGTATGTTTAAGCTTTTGAATCAAAAAGAAGGCTACACCAGACAAGTAATTCACTCAAGTTTGCAAGTTGAACTCTAACAACCCTACGCTCAAAAGGGACAAACGGTGGCTGGTGCATGCATTCAACGTCAGGTGAGGAGGGACGGTCCGTCTCTATTTTTGTCCAGCAAGCTGCACATCTTACGTATCTGTTCAAAATGCATCCGCCCCCTTTCAGAATTCATGTATGACAAATATATAACTATTAAAGAACACTGCCCATAGAATTTGGTTATTCCCATCGTAATCGTAATGAAAATAAAAATAAGAAGTCTGAAATTAATTGATCGCCTTCTTACAACCCATCAATAAATGAACGCTCGGAGCTCACCTAAACCAGATCGTCTTTTCGAAAATAATTGACCTTTATATACAATACAAGATGGAACAGGTCGGGTATGACGAATATGGATACAGACAGTGCCATTATCGTCATGGCAACATATCCGAGGTAAGAAACAGATGGTCGATCATCTTCTGCACTTTTTCGTTTTCGAATCGTGGACGACAGCGTTGCTTTTGGAACCGTCAACTCCATGGTGATGTTGATAATCCGTTCTCTCACAACCTCAATTCTTTTGATATTAGTCACTTCGGATAGGCATCCACAAGATGGTTTCTTGGTTGAAGTGTTCCTGATTGGTACAACTACCGACGGGATAGCAGGAAGCTCAATGTCTTTAGACGTGATGAGTTCATCATTGAAATGAGTAGTGGAAACATCATTGTCGGTGCTACTTTCTGGGGAAGAGGTCGACGATTCATCATCATGGCAATGTATAAAGACATACCTCCATAGAAGCTCCGTTAAATTTTCTTGAGAACATAACATCGTTATATTGTGTTGCCATATTTCACACACGTTCACAATATAATCTGTGGTAAATCCAATCTTTGTATACCTTTTAACCATCAGAGGGTCCATAGAACTCCACATAAAACATTCTTCAAAACTGATAACAACATCTTCAGAATATTCGGTATATTCCAATCGGTCTTGTAGTGGAGCAATGGGGCAAATTAGCATTTTACATTTCTCGTGATTGAGAGATGTCAAATTCGTGTAACACCATGGGCCACTTTGACTAACTCCAGGATTCCGACAAGAATTGTGGTTATCCTCTTTATCTGGAAAGGCGGATCTCGAAAACTGAAAATCTCCACCAGTAACGCTAGCCCAATTTTGGCAGAGTTTTCCACTAACCGTGTTAGAAAGTTTGCCAACGTAGTCAAAACCGTCATCTCTGAGGGGGCAAACGCTTGTGCAACTTACTACTGGGCAGTATTCCCATGACTTTGCATCTTCGCTGGTGAAACACCATGGTCGCGTGTACATCCCATTGGGGTTCCTACAATAGTTGCTTGCATCTGCCAGGGTAGCGTCTGGAAATAATTCTAACTTTTTCAACCAGATGTTTCCAGGAATGTCCCAATTGGCGCAGGTTTTACCTGATAAAGTATGGTGCTGGAAGCCGTTATACTCCTGGCCCTTTTCAGATCTAAGACATTCTCGCGTTTTATGTTCTATATATCGGTAACCAAAGGCTCGAATCTCGCAGACATCTACCTCAGAGTCCACGTTTATGGTGATGGAGGATCCAACTGGGTATGTCTGACAGGTGTAGGATCGTATTGGATACCAGTAAAACTCGTATGGATTACTGTAGCAAGGATGTGTTCTTCCATTGTTGGCGATGACGTGGACTGACAACTGGCGCCACAAACGATATAAGCCTTTAGTAATATGTATAACAATTTCCCGAAATTCAAATCGATCATTTTGGAAATCCACCTTCAGTTGTCCTTTAGTTACACTTGCGCACGTATTGTCCAAGTCGTCAGTAACTAGTTCGTAAACAATTTGTTTTTCTGAATCAAACACGGTCCTCCCAGCTGCAATATTGGCCTCATTGGTGCATTTAATGTTATCAGAGCTCCAGGAATTGAAAAACAAACACGTTGCTATCGACCCCTTATGTAATGTGTAAAATCCTCTTTCGCATACATATTCTGCTTTACTTTGAAATGTGGTTTCAGAGTAAAGTGGTTTGGCTCCGTGAAAAAAATCGGGGCGGCTGCAATCCACTTTGTGTAATCTCCCGAAAATTTCAATATCGCAAATACCAAAACCAGAGGATAAGTTCCCATACCTTGGGATAAAGACAACAGATTGTCCGATAGCTACTGCTGTACAATTAACTTGGAAGGTTCCATTTACGAAATCCGATTGTTCCAAGAAAGCACAATTTGGATGTGTCCATAAACCGTCATTTCGGCGAACAGTTACTGTAATGTTATCGGGTAGAATTTCAAAATCATCGTCGAGGCGGAATTTAACGTCAGTTATTTGATAAAATTTAGTTTCCGTGGCTACATCGAAGACGATGGACTGTTCTTCGAAACTAGAATTAGCATAATAACATTTCGTGTTGGGATCTAGAACAAGTAGATTATTTGAAGATTTGCATCTAGCAGCTTCTACTGACCACCTTTGCATGTACGAATTACAATGGATAATCATATTGTCATCCACCTGGGTATAATTATCCCAGCAGGTGTTTACTACTCTACTCCCAGCAGAAGTAGAGCTGAATGTTTGGGTTACGGCATGCATGTCCCGAGGTTTTCCACAATCTAGAACACAGTTTGGTGGACTTCCTGAATAAGATCCATTTAAACAGGTCCTCGTAAGATTTCCGTTCGAAAGATTGTAGCCAAAATAACATTGATAAGTTGTGGTAGAATTTTCGTATCCGCCATCCCATTTTCGGTAAACATTGGAAACGGGCCCGGGTTCTTCACAGGTCTGTTCTGTGCTGTCTTCTGTGTCTATCATGCATAGAACTACATTTAAACCACGGAGGAAAAACAGTAGCTTTAGTATCATTTTTATCTCTTCTTTTGAGTCGATTTTAATAAATGTCTTAAAAGTTCTACCCCCTGTTTGATAATGCACAGACCATAGTTATTTAATATACAAATTCGCGAAAGAGTCCTAAGATGTTCCTGTCTACCCCGCACGATGTGATCTGATCATAAATGAACTTTCGTGGAACTGTTTAAAGTCATTCTCGCGTGCCAACTTACAATCCTGCAACATTGAAGATACTCAGTCTTTTATATATGCTAAAGAATATACATATCAAGATTTATCAAAAGTTTTCTTTAATTATGTATAACAATACCAGCTTTCTTACTTCTTTGTGGATAATGAAAGGGAATCAATTATTTGCGTATTTTTCTCAATGATAACTGATTCGTAAATAATTATGGATCTGTGGTCTCTGGAATAGTTGGTGATCACACTATATGCTATTCTGTTTGGGTCTTTTGGGAAAAGGGATTATTCTTAGTCGAGAGGTTATGACTGAGAACAACCTTCGCTTGTCCAGGGTGGCTGCCACGGGGCTGACAAGGAAAGTGTGCATCGTCGCCCCTATGAGACGAAATACCTTGTACAGCCCCTGGAAGTAGGAACGCGTCACGAAATACATAAATCCGTCCGTGTACAGGGCCCTTGAAAGTAGGAAATCGCCTCTGTCCCCACAAATTTCTACTACCTCGCATAACCATTTGTTTTTCTCAAAATGATCAAAACATTGTGTTGACGAGACGTCAAAACCCAATCGCATTATTCGTTATTGTTTACACTGTAAAAGGAGCCATAGTATCTCAATTAGTAAGGCGCTGGCTCACTAATATGGACGTCCCGTGTTTCCCCTTATTAGTAGTGCTGCCAAAGAACACCGTCTAGTCCTTCAGAGGACACAAAAAACGAGTCTCCGTGTACACGATGGCTTTTGAATTCGAAATGAGAGTATGTCTCAGCGCCGCTGTCTGAGCATGACGTAATACGACGTAAGTGTAGAATATGGCGAACCCTCAAAATTTTTGAGAAATTGGACTATGCCAGTGAGGCGGGGACTGTTAAATTGAGGGATATTACTGGATTTTGTTTTACTTGGAGAACAACAGCGCGGCTTTGCAATAGTGTTCTTAATGATTATTTACACCGACTTAGGTGTAATAATTAATAACAAAATTTTACATAAAGTATCAAGATTACATCCCTTAGAGTTTCACAATGGAATTTGCACTCGGGGCTGCAAATTAAAACGTGTATTTAGGAGTCCCAATTTACGGGAGTGTGTGGGGGCAGTAATTATTGATGCTTTTCTAGAGTATATCCCGATGTTTCTAACCCAAATTTAGCATGTGTCAACCGTACTAATTCACCAAAAACTAGACTAAAAGTTCCAAAAGTAAACGAAAAACATTCATTTCTTTAGGGGCCCAGTGCCAACCATACTCACACAAGATTCTTCTCGGTCAACTCCTTTTTCAGTATAATACTCATCCGAATGTAAATGTTCAGTTTACACCACCCCAGCGTGATTAAAACTAACTTATTATTTGTAACTGTGTACTTGCGTGGCATACCAAAACCAACTTAATCATAACTACTCTTTTTTTATTATCTTGTATTTCTACAATCATAATAAAAGCACAATTAATAAAGTTTTATTACTACCGTTATAAAATATACTATGAGTCTTTAATGAAACGACCGCCTCTCAGGCAACTGTTGATGTCGGTTCCCGTTAATGAAATAAAATTACCGTCCTACTTTTCTACACCTACTGGACTCTTATTTCGAATTAGAACGGTCACGGGTTCTTTTACGTTGTCCCCTGCCAGGCCCTCCATCCTGCACCACTGACAAGGAGGACCCACGCCGTAGAATCACGTTGAATTTTCTAGGCCAGCATCAGGGTCGAACACAGTTAAACGAGCCAATGTTTTACTCACTGAGCTATCGCGCCCACCGCCCTCCATAATTTGGACTGTTTACTATACACCACAATGTATTTATAAGGTATTTGGATCGAACTAACCTTTGGAATCTGATTGAAAAGAAAATATTCCCTGTAAGTTATATATACAAGTAGTTAAAGTAGCTAAGTCTCTAACTCAATATCATCCAAAGTCTTCTATGGGGGTTGGATGGCCGAATGGTTAGCACGTGCTGTATCATAAGGTCTGTGATTGATTGATTCAACTGGCGTGGTTTCGATTCCCCGGTTGTACGTGACAAGGCGTATGGTTGCCTGTCTAACCTCGTGGGTTTTCTCCAGGTCCTCTGGTTTCCTCCCACTGCTAAAGACCCGAACGCGGAAGCGAATAATTGAAATAAAATTAAACCATATGTTAGTCCCGAAGTGACCTAGTTTGTGTCGAGTAGACGTCAAACCCCATTTCTCCCTCCTCTCTCTTTCTCTCTCTCTCTCTCTCTCTCTCTCCAAAGTCTTCAACATTGAAAACACGATTTATTTGTCAATTTAAATCAACATTGATGTGATCTTACCGGAAAAATATGGGCTTCTGATATCCAATAATTAAAGATACATTATGGAAGATTAGTTAAAGAGCTGGCAGTTCTCACTATAATAGTTAAAAACTAGATAATGTAAAGGCAATTTGCTGAAAATTTCAGTCAAATTTGCAGAAAATTTCAGTCAAATTGATCCACTATGAACCGAGATTTTAGCGATTGAATATTGGGGTTAGCCTCGAACATCATTACTAAAGTCGGTAGGATAAAAAACATAGTCTCGATTGTCCACTTTTTTGATTTAATTATAAATGGACGTCGAACAGCAAATCAGAACGTAATCCAATAAACATCGCAGGCTAGCGATGCCATAGAGAGTTGATCATGGTCTGGATAAGTAAATTAATGTCTAATTAATTTATATAACAGATAATTAATTATAATTATCATCCGGTAGCTAAAACATTGAGATATACTATGATGTGTTTGTTTTAATTACGAATGGGTGCCTTTAGCTTCACCTGGCAAACCTCATTTCTTTTATAATGCATGTAACATCTTAAAAATAAGTTAATTTTATACTATAAGTACTAATTAATAAGTACCCAATGTAGTGAAACAACTTTCGTTTATCTGTAAATATTGTCATTAACTTTAATCGGGCGGTGTTTTTATCAAAATTGATACGGACATTCTAATAGTCATGTGCAACACCCTGGTTTTATATCCCGTATCTTAATCGGCTGTTGTTCACGACTTATGGCATATCTAATCGTCAATTTCAAATGTCTGGAAAGTGGAAAGCCAGCAATTATTGCTTCGATTTAAAAGAGATGGTTTGTACCCGTGTCGTGTTGGATTATGCTTAAGTAGTTGGCTGTGGCAGTTCATGTAATAAATAACAATAATCAATCGTTAAAAATTGACGGTTTTGCTTTTTGAATCCCGATCTGATTCGCATCGGCGTTTTGCCAGGCAAAACTATATAGTCATCTCTTATGTCGATAAACTATTTAGGATCATTCAATAAGAGCTTTGTAAAGTTTGTGTTAGTTAAAATGTCTTCGTTGGTCGTCGTCGATCTTTAGCGGTAAAACAGATATTAAAATTAAATGCTCGGCCTTATATATAGCCTACAGACTTTTCGTGTGTTATGTTCCTCTGTCTGTGATATAGAGTGTTTAGTCCAGCGAAAATGTGGGGAAACGCTGGATTCGGGTAAAGAGATAAGTAATAACATAAAAACGGAGAATATTTAGTGGTCTGCATCCAAATGATTATTACGGAGTTACCTGCTTCACTTAACTCTTCAGATTAGAAATCTGAAAGGTCTTTAACGTATAACCTTGTGTTTTATTTTGGAATTTTTGAAGAAAATTGAAATAATGAATGGTATTTTGACTAATAATATGATATTTACAGAGGTTATGTTGATATTTCTAATGCTGTCCTCGTCTTGAATTAAAAGGACGGATAAGCTAGTGTTGTTGGTAATAATTAAAGGGGTCCACCAGCAATGTCAAATTCAATGCAATTATTATATAAATCATCATGATCGACATTATATAAATGATGTAATTAATATGATTTATTACTACAGTATTTCATTGGATAAAGAATATCTCTCGTCCATTCACTTGAAATCTAGTGTATATTCTAAAGGTTAAAGAATCAAAATGGCTATGACAAGGACCTCTGGTTTCAGTCCAAAGGGCTATAAAGCCTTTCACAGTTTGTCAAAGAATATATTTTGTCATCATGGACCATCTGTGGATATGACTTTCACGACATTCATCAAGCCCAAACACATTCATGTGAGAACATATTCCTCGATTTTAAACATCTTTCATTCGTCTAAAAGCAATGGAACAAAACAATTATTCAAAAGTCAAGTTCTTAATAATAATAAAGGTTTTAGAGGTAGTAGATTGAATTTATCTTCCAAATTAAATTCCCCTAAAATGCAGAGAAAATGGTTGAAACGTTTTAGTGGTTTGACAGTAATTACAAGTGCTGCTAGTGGATTATATTATTTAAATTTAAACGAACAGGAGAGACGAAAGATACGGGTAGCAATTGGTGGATTTCGAAGATTTTTCAGGTATGATAATATTTATATATTTATACTGCATGCTTTTGAGGCAGTGATAATTATAAAAAGAAAAATTGATACAAAAAAATTGAATTAATAGATTATAATAATAATAATAATGTATTAAAGAAATAACCACCAAGAAAAGCATCCTGATAATGAATATACATGTACATTATTTTGACAATGGTTCCAGTATTACCACTCCCCTAAGTCCTCTCTCTAAAGAATCGAAATGAAATGAAATGGGGTTTAATGTCCTACTGTTTGCTCCAAACTGGGCTAATGAAGACGAGCATACAGTGTGCTATGATGAGGGAAATTTTGCCCGGACAGTGGCACTACAGCCTACTCTTATATCAAATTCCATCTGTCAAGGGATCTTTTATGTGCACGCCAATGTGATGCAACCTGTATTTGGTTATACAGTATATAGAGAAAATTGAATCTTGATTTATCTGAGATTGAATATTAACTATATTGTGCATTTATTCAATAGAAAATGATATTAAAGATGTTTATTTTTTTCAGATCATTTAGAATAGGTTCACTAATATCATTAGATTATAAGTGGAATCTGTATAATTTACAAGAAGAAAGTGAAGAATATGAACAAGCTATTAAGGGTTGTCATCAACGAGCAGCAGATCGTATTCTGAACGGTTGTTTAAAGAATGGTGGGTTGTATATAAAATTAGGACAAGGATTAGTATCATTAAATCACATTCTACCTCGAGAATATATCAATACGTTAGTACAGCTACAAGATAGAGCTTTGATTAGAGGACCCCATGAGGTGAGTTGACAGAGTAGATAAGAAATATTAAGATCACTTTCTAATTAAAAACAAATTATTCAAATGTATGCAGCATAAATGTATTGCCGGTATGAATCTTTTGTACTCTGAATTTCCTTGGATATAACATCCTATATATGTATTGTAAGAACGCAATGTCATTATGTATGTCACATGTGGGGGTGGGGGGAAATAGCGGGGACCCAATAAATGTCTCCTATACCTATCAATTTATCTTTCACTAAATTTTGTATTTCTATTTTGTTTGTATATATTTTAGGTTGAAGCATTGTTTTTAGAAGATTTTGGAAAGTTACCATTAGAGGTATTTAAAGAATTTGAATCACAACCTATAGCAGCTGCAAGTCTGGCTCAGGTACATAGGGCAGTAACATTTGAAGGTGACAGGGTAGCAGTTAAGGTTAGTGTTGGGTTAATTTTTCTTACAAAAATGGGGTAGAATGAAAAAACCCATTTGCATTATATGTCAGATAAAATTCTCCAAGTATAAAACAAAATAACATGAAAAAAAAATATTGACTTGTATTTTAGTAAGAGTGCGACCAAGGTTTGGTGGTGTTGTTATTCCATAGATTATTTATCTCCACTTTCTGTAAATAATGATAGTACCTGTATATCTCTTTATATTGCCCCAAAGTTCTTTGACTCATTACTAAGTTTTTGAAAAGATGAGATTTGTCACAGGATTTGAAAATGTCATAAAAAAAATGTTTAACTGAGAGAGAATTCCATCTTACCACAGCTGCAACAGCAAATGGTCTCTGTCCAAAACTTTCAGTTTGGTATCACTAGCTGATTGAGATTGATTGAATGCAACTGTTAGTAATTGTTATATATCCAGTCAAAATTTATGTGGAAATCTGAAATCCTTTTCATATTTAAACTCTTAATGTAATTTATATGTTGTATTTTAGGTGCAGTATATTGATTTAAGAGATAGATTTTCTGGTGATATTAAAACTTGTGAAATTTTATTAAGATTAGTAGAATGGATTCACCCAAAGTTTGGTTTTTCCTGGGTACTTAAGGTATGTACAGTCATATCATCATAGTATGAAAATACAGAACCAAGTCTGGTGATTAAACAAATTTGTACTAAATGATACTTTTAGGCAATTATTTTCAGGTTATTAAAGATACAGTATGTAAGATTTAGATAAAGTGCTGGTTGTTCTTGCTGTAATAGTTCAAAAATAGTTTAATTATACATTATGCAAGAGCTAAATCTGCCTATTGCAGGTCTTTCTTCAGGCCTGAAATGTTATCTAAATTATTAATTAGACATTAATTAACTTATCCAGACCATAATCAACTCACAATGGCATCACTAGCCTGCGATGTTTATTGGATTAGGTTCCGATTTGCTGCTCGACTTCCATTCATAATTAAATCAAAAAATGGATAATCGAGACTATGTTTTTTATCCTACCGACTTCAGTAGTGATGATCTAGACTAGCCCCTACATTCAATCGCTTAAATCTCTGTTCAGAGTGGATCAATATAACTGAAATTTTCAGTAAATTGCCATTACATTATCTAGTTTTTAACTATTATAGTGAGAACAGTCAACTCTTTATCTAATCTTCCATAATGTATCTTTAAGGAATATATTGAAAATTTCACTCAAATTACCAATGCTACAATGATAAGTAAAGTCTTAATTATCCATTTTAACGTTAAATGATTAAATCGCAAGAGTGTACTTATCCATTCAATATCATGAGTCATCAGATATTCTAGAGAATTGAATATGTGCTTGCCATGTGAATAGATTTTTAATTAATAATTTATATGACATTTAAAGCCCAAAAAAGACTTGCAATAGGTAGATATAGCTCTTAAATAATGCAAGATTAAGATAATCAATTTCAAAGGATTCTTCAGGGCAAGTGTGTCTAGTCCTTGTGATGGGATGAAAAACATAGGTACACATTGTCATACACATAAAACAACCTTGACATTTGGATATTGAAGAAGAATAGGCTGAAAGTCTTCTACCCAGGCAGAATTCGCATTGCACATGTCACCATAGAGAAATAGTCTCTAAATGAACAGAGTATTTTGTTGATAATTGTCTACGGAAGTGGACGTAAAACTCCAGGAGCGTACCAAAGCACGTAATGATAATACGCTACAGCTATTGATTATGCCAAGTTGGCTAAAATTATTACAAAGGAACAACTCTCTACTGGACTAGTAAATAAAAATTTTAAAAATAGGAATTATAGAAAGGTAAATACCTTTATTTCAGGATTTGAAAAATACATTAGCGGAAGAATTAGATTTTGAAAATGAAGGAAAAAATGGTGAAATGTGTGGAAGAGATTTGAAACATTTATCCTATATTTATGTTCCTAAAGTTCATTGGAATAAAACAACAAAGGTTAGTTTTCTACACATTTATTTATGTATATTTGCTTGGTCTTGATCTGAAAGCAATTTTATATTTTTCATCATTGGCCACCGGGTGGGGGGGTGTTGTTGGATGGCGCGCTGTATCATACGGTCTCTTATTGAGTCAACTGGCATGGTTTCGATTCCTCGGTTGTACGTGACAAGGAGTAGAGCCGCCTGTCCAACCTCTTGGGATTTCTCTTGGTCCTCCGGTTTCCTCCCACTGCTAAAGACCCCTAAGCACAAGCAAATTATTGAAATAAAATTGAACCATGTGTTAGTCCCGAAATGAACTAGTTTGTGTCCAGTGGATGTTAAACCCCATTTCTCTCTCTCTCTCTCATTGGCCACTGCCCAAACAGATTGGTGATAGCCAAAAAAAAATGGTGCCCGACTTATTAGTCATAATTGTATGGTTTCACTATTTGACTCATTCAACGATCCTGGCAAGTTTGAACCAAAATTAATAGTCTGAAATTGGATAGAGTGGCTCCTTATTACCATATTAGCTAATGTGGTGTTGGGATCTGTTAACCGGTCACCATTCCGATGTTAATGGATTACTCTTACAAGCTAGCTCGCTAAGTGACTAACGACTCCATTTCTTAGTTGACCGCTCACCAGAAGGTTAAAGATCATTTATTTAACAACTCCCAGTAAATTTGAAACAAATGGCTCAAAAACCCTTGAGTCATAGAGCCATTATAAGGTTTCTCTCATATGGCAACTGAGTAGTGTTCCAGCTTAGGATTTGCAGAATAGTCCAAGCAAACTTGAAAATAAATGTCTCAAAAACTATTGATTGTAGAATTTTTCTAAGTTTTCATGATTTGAGAAAAATTCAAAGCGCGAATTTGAATTTCAGTAATTTAAGTCCATATAATTTAGACATACCGAACAATCCCAGCAACTTTGAAAAAAGAACCTAAAGAGAAGTACACATAGCCTGTACAGTATTTACAGATAAAAGGATGAGCTCGGTCTAAAATTGACTATTCATGAATGAACATTTTGACCTAATTAGATTTATTTTTATCTATTACAGAGAGTACTAACAACAGAATATATAGATGGTGTTAAGATAAGCAATCAACAAGCTATAAAATCCATGGGATTATCGTTAAAAGATGTAAGGATATTTTATAGACTCTTTGATTTATATCGGGGTTCCTTGATTATTTGTCTATAATTGTTATTAATAATCCATTATACACACTGTCACTTACACTATGATTACAAATTATATCTAAAATGTACATATTTGTGTATTCAGAATTTCTGAAAGGGAAGTAGTTCCAAATAAAACCCTTGGCAAAAAATTTCAACAAGTAAGTCGAATCTAATGACACTTGCTGATATATAGAGAGCATACATAATGTATATAATTCTTTGCAGCAAATCTTCAGCATTATTTCTGTTAATTTGGTATTGTCCATTACCCACCCTCACTATTCCATTACATATGTTCCTTTTCTGTATTTTCAGATAGATTTTAAATTAGTGCGATGTTTTTCTGATCAAATATTTCTCTCAGGCTTTGTACATGCTGATCCACATCCTGGCAACAGTAAGTCACATGATTTCTATATGTTGACTACAATCATATCCAGGCAACAAGAAATCAGATAAAATCATAATTCTTTAGTTGCATTTAGTGCTTGAAAGCGAAATGAAAAAGAAATGAAATGGGGTTTAACGTCCTACTGTTCTGCTCCGAGTGGGCTAATGAAGATAGGCATAAGCCGTACATTGTGCTATGAGGGAAATTTTGCCGAGACAGTGGCACTATGGCCTACTCTTATGTCGAATTCCAACTGTCAAGGGATCTTTTATGTGCACGCCAATGTGTATACAGGATCTCGGTTTTTCATCCCATCCGAACGACTAGATAGTTGTCCTTGTCAGGCCCTCCGTCTGAACCACTGATAGGGGAAACCATGCCTGAAAATCTTGATGAACTTTCTCGGCCAATGTAGGGATAGAACACCCGACCTCCATGCTAGTGAGCCAGCGTCTTACCCACTTAGCCACTGTGGCTTTGTGCTTGGAAGCATAACAAAACTAACACACATATATGGAATAACAATCATTGGTATATTATACACAAGCATGACACACCATATAATGGTGTTAGTTTTGTGTCATATAGTAATTATATCTCATCATATTCTCCATACACTGTGTGCCATTGTCACCTGTCATGGAAGAGTTTCATTATCAGTTATTGGAGTCCTTTGGAGTTATCTCCCATTATATAATCTTTTGACTTGGAGGCTAGAGAGTGAATAGACATGGTTGATCTCACAACATATAGTTTTACATTAGTTGTATTCTGATCCATACCATCAATTGATAACCAGACAAACTACCTCCACAGAGCAAAATGTATCAAGAAATTTTTCAAATGATCTATTTGTCTTTTGTTTCAGTATTTATTCGTCCAGGAAAAGATGGAAAAGCTCAGTTAGTTTTATTAGATCATGGATTATATGATCGTTTATCTCCAAAAGATAGACATAATCTAAGTCATATGTATAAAGCTATTGTATTAAATGATGAAGTAAAGATGGAACATTTTTCACATGAGTTGGGTGTTGACGGTAAGTTGATATCACTTTTATTTATATTATTTTAAAAGTTTTATCCTCTCATTTTGCTTCTTTCTTACGATTTTTATGTTTCTAGGATTTAATTGTAAACTTGATTTTAAAACTTAAGTTCTTCTTCCAACTTTTTTCGATATGTAGAGCATGAATCAGTTTTGTTTAAACAACCCATAGTATTGAAACAAATCTGTGTGGGTTCTAATATGCCAAGGTTTTATTACTGTTAACAAAAACGCTATATAGTTTCCAAGTTGATTATTAAGCTTAAAAGTGATCTTAAGTTAAATACAGTCTTAAGATGATCTCAAGTGTAATACAGTCTAAAAATGATCTCAAGTGTACTACGATATCAAGTGCATTACAGTCTAAAAATGATCTCGAGTGTATTACAGTCTTAAAAATGATTTCAAGTGTATTGCAATCTAAAAATATCTCAAGTGTATTACAGTCTAAATATGATCTTGGGTGTATTACAGTCTACAAATTATCTCAAGTGTATTACAGTCAAAAACATATCTCAAGTGTAGTACAATCTAAAACTTATCTTGCATGGATTACAGTCTAAAGTTTATCTCAAGAGTATTGCAGTCTAAAACTTATCTCAAGTGTATTACAGATTACTGTCTAAAAATGATCTTGAGTGTATTAGTCTAAAACTTATCTCAACTGTATTACAGTCTAAAAAAATTTTGAGTGTATTACAGTCTGAAAGTTATATATCTTGATCTTTCTATTTTAGAATGTTATTTTGCAACTTATTCTTATGCCCTTCTCTTTATCTATAGATTTTCACATTTTTGCCATCATGGTGAAACAAGGGCCGGTAAAATTGAAAACTAAGCGTTTATTCCGTACTAAACCATTTACAAGAAAAGAATGGAAAAATTTGACCCCAGAACAGAAAGCGGCTATGAAGGAAGAATTTGAGGTTATACACTTCCGGGTTTTAGAAGTTATGAAAACTATGCCAACTGCTCTTATATTTATTTTTAGGTATGATAATTCATGGAAATTACTTCACCAGAAGGTGACCAACAGTACAATACCGATAAATTTAATGGAACATTGGGCAATATTTGAAGATAATTAATACATAAATATCTAGTTGCTAAAATTTTATAAATGAAACGTGGTTAAGAGCACAATATTCAAGACTTACCGGCCAACAGAAGTTTTGACAAAAAACATATTAATCCAACAAGTATTAAAGTCAGTCGTTCCTAACATGACCTGAAATTCACCAAACTATTAATTTCACTCCCCCATATATTTATGGCCAGCCGACTGAAGAATAACTTTATTTTTGACCATGAACATCAACCGCAGGATGGTATTTTACCATGGTTATTGGTATTTGGTTTTAATCAGCTAAATTACTGTCTGAAGAACTCTTTTCAAACCTTTTAATTGTTAGATTTAATTCAGTGAAAATGACTACTGATCTTCTGGTATATTGTGGATTTAACAAAAAGAAGACAAAAGAAATACAATATGGGTAGATTTTTAAGATTGTTGATAATTTTTTGTTATTATAACAGTGTCAAGTGCTACTTTCATTTCTAAAATTTTCAGTCTTTGAGTACCAATAGTTCACATTTTACACCTAGATGCAGACGGAATTAGCTGAAGTATCCTTAACAAGAATTTACCAGAATATCAAGGGCCAGGGAAATAACTTTATTTTAATCTCCGTTTCCACAATAATAAAATTTTATTATACTAACTTTTTTTTACAATAATGATAACAGATTTGTTTTAAGAAGAATAAGAGAGCAGTGTTTGTAATTTTACAGCAGTTAAGTTTGGTCAGGTTTCTGAGGTGTCAGTGGGGTAATGGTGGCTGTTGATATTATAATTGTGGTAATTTCAATTGGGAATAGGTAGAAGTTTATTAGTCTATAGTTATTGGTTCCTGGTAGAGGTATAGACAGGTGTCTGTCCTCCTACTTTATCTATATATAGTAGCAGTTTCTTTTACCTATATATATTAGTAGTTTATTTTGCCCACAGTAGGTGTATATGGTCTCATCAGTTAATACTCATATCATATCCAGTAGTTGAAGGTTCTTGTTGTCATTTTTGAATGATGACATAGACCATATTTCAGTGTGTACCTCATATAAAAATAACTTCTCCTAAAAGAGAACTGCCACTTTTGAGTTTGAACAGAAATGATATAAGAATATTTATCAATGTAAGACTGTATTTATTAGAATGTTGGAGACTCAGATTTGATTTTTTTGTTTATATTAGCTTTCATTGCTTCTTATTTTAGCTACTTGCAATTTCCTTTAATATATGGAACATGCATGAAAATATTTAATCTTTTAATAGTTTTTTTGAGGACTTTTAACAAAAATATTAAAACTCAAACATTTCTGTGACTTAATTTTCAAGTTTTGTGGTTCAATATATTTTGTAGACTACAAGATATTTGGTGAAATTATCGTACAGCGACCTTTAGCAAGACAAACATTGCGTATAGCTAATAGAATGACTCCAGCAGATATTGCTTATATGAAGAGTCAAGCTCAACATCATTTTGATAAAATCATGAAAGTTTTACAAACTATGCCAAGAACTATGCTTCTAATTATAAGGTTTGTCTCTTCAAACTTTGAATTATGATATATCTATATAACCTACTTTACCTACCTTTAATTGATTGGCCAAATTATTTTTTTTTCACCCATGTCATACACTTTTAGTTGTGATTATAATTAAAAGACGCCAGAATTAGGCACCAGAAGTCATTGTCGGTGTCGGGAAATAAGCTTCCATTCCCTTTAATATACTTCAACTACATGTTAGGTAGCATATCTTTTTCTGGAATTTTATTTATGATCAGTACAAGGAACTTTTTTACAATTATTCAATTCAGTTTTTCTGGAGAAAACTGAGTTTAATCTATTATTAAGTTATTCATAAATGATATCTTATAAGTTAGTAAAAGTATGTACATTTTAGATTTATGTACAAAAAATTCAAAGTTCTCTGCTGTTGAAGGCTTTTTAAACAAATCAAGCTACATGATATTATATTGTTGAAATAGTTTTAAAAACCTGCTTTGTTTACCCACATTTGTGAATATGGGCATTCTCACCTTCATATGATACTTTGACCAACACCTCAGCTTATTTCTTTATCCTTTAAAATATATCTCAAATATTTCATATTACTTATAGAATTTAAAAAGACTAAAAGCAACATTTTTTTTATTTTATAATTAAAGTAGCACTTGACACTGAAATTTTATGGTTAATTTTGTACCAAAAATTATTCTATTATGAGGAATGAAAACATTTGTGATTTTATTTTGTAGAAATTTAAATACTATTCGTGCTATTACTAGAGAACATAATAATACAGTTGATAGATATGGTATAATGGCTAGAAGGTATGTAAAAATTTATGCTATCTCATTCAGAAAACTTGTTAACTTATTAGGAGTCGCAGAGGCTCGGTAATTAAGGCGCTGGCTCACTGCTTGTTCAGTCAGTCACATTTTAAAATGACTTTAAATGATAATTTAATGAACATTTTTTTTGCTGTTTTAAAATATTTCCAAGGGAAATGTCTGGTAAAATAAAAAAAAAATTGGATGACTCATGATGCAGAGTTATCTTACGCCTTCTGAAAGATCTGATGCCACTTGCCACTAGACTCATCAGCCGAGTTCACTCCACATTTATCATTCTTATTGATGTATATTTTTCTTAATATATTTGGACGCTTTGTCTACTAGAATTTTTTACCATCTTCAATATTTCAGTTTTTGACTTTAACTGATAATTACTATTTTAGTGCTATAAAAGGAACACATCTAGGAGTGAACCAGAAACTAGGATTAACAGCCTTGTTGAGTTCATGGTGGGATAGTTGCCTTTATGATATTAAAATACAAAGTGAAAGTATTAAAATGAGGATTTTTATGGCTGTTGGTAGACTGTATCTACGAGTCTTACATTGGATGGGTCGTGCCCCGTCATTATCAGAACTTGAAGAAATAGCTAAAACAGAAGCAAAAAGGTAAATAAATTGTCTTTCGTGATTTTTAGCATGCTACATGTATATAACCCGACAATGGTGTCTTCATTGTTAACAAGAAAAGTGTGCCTAGTTTTTTCCCCCACCCCTTGTATTGCACACGTAACCAGGAAAGTTACAATTTGTTAGTCTCAAAATGGTGAAAGCATTGTTTTGACGAGACTTATACCCCATTTTAGACACTGATAAAAACTTGACCCAAATACACTGCTTTTTCTTTAGCAAAAGTCACATTTCTGAGTTTTTTTACTTCATCAATTTTTATTTCTGATATTTCATAAAATATAAATCAAATTTGAGTTTCCAGCATATTTGTTTTGAAAACAAAAATGTCCTTAATTTTATCTCCTCAATGCACAAAGGTGAAAAGAAATGTACAAATTTGTTGCTTTTTGTTTGCAACAGGGCCTTGCGATGTATTAGTAGTTTCCAAATTCTTTCTAAATATCTCGACCATTTTCAAGATGCATATTATTATGTTAATACAAATCTAAAAGTCCTTTGATACAGAATTTAAATTTAAGTATTCAGTGCCCTAATGCTGATCTGAAAATGAGTATTGCCTTAGCTATAATTTCATAGTATACAATTTTGTCTTTGTAGATTTGAAGGATTATGATGAAGGGAGATATCCTAGAAACAAACATTTGAATGACATATACAGTAAAATAGAAAAATATTGTGATTAAACAAAATAGGACAACAGTTAATCATTGTGATAACTCTTAGAAATCCTATTTTTGTAATTGGTTATCATTTATAGTTCATAGAAAACACATCCATGGGTATCATCTGAATTTATTTTAACTTGTTACTTTTAAGCTAACTTGAAACTGTATTAAGATAAATCATCGGGATGTTGTGATTATTGTAAATATATTTTATATTCATATAACTAAGATATATATTAGGAATTATATGAGTGAATATAGAATGGTAATTGTTAATGTTATATGATAAAGTTTTGTTAGTTGACAATGAATAAACCAATTTTAATGTACCCGTATTAATTTGATGATAATCTCTAATGATTTAAATATGCAGAATTCAGTCCTGACAACAGAGGTGGTGAGTAGAATCGTGAGGGCTATACTATATACTGGAAAACACCAAAAAACACCACGGAAAACACCATATTATACCGAATACTGGAAAACACCCTAAATAATGGAAAACACCCTAAATAGGTAACCCGGAGTCTGGTCCTCTGTGTGCGTTTTTTTTTTACCAGGTGAGTGCCGATGAAGGAAGGTCAAATTCTTAAACCTAACCGCACACAGAGGACCAGGCTCCGGATTACTTATTTAGTGTGTTTTCCGGTATTTAGTGTTTTTCCGTATTCAGTATAACATGGTGTTTTCCGATAGTTTTTCAGTATATAGTATAGTCGGAATCGTGACATAATTAAACACAACAAATAAGTTTCAGCTTCCATTGTTGATTGAGATATTTTCTTATTATAATGGGATGGAATTCTGTGTCATTCAGTTGCATTTCTGTAAATTTGGAAGGTTCTGTACCAACCATCAAGCTAGATGACCCTACTCTATCCATGTCCCTTAACAGCAGAAGTCAAAGTTCAAGATTTTCCAGTGTGGTCTCTCCTGGTCAGTGAGAGTAATGCAGGAAGGAGGGCATGGCAAGACACTGTGTCTAGTCGTTCAGATGGAACGGAAAATCAGGGTCCACTTAAAATATCCCTTGGCAGTTGGAACTCGAAAAGAGTTGGCAGAAACGCTGATGTCCGGGCCTAGTTTTCCATTCATTACACACTGTGAATCATACGCTGGCTGGTCTGTAATAGCCCAGATGGTGTAGAATAGTAGGATGTCAGCATTAAAGGGACAGATTTTTTTTTTTTATTGAGTGGTATTAAATTTTTATTATTTGAGCGGAATCAATTCAGTATTTGCATTTTTAGAAGGGGACACCAGTGGTGATGGGATTTCAAAATTTTTCTTGTCAGAGATTTTACCGAAAAAAAGGGGTGTAACTCTTCGTTTTTTAACCAGACGAATTCATACCACAATTCAAAATCACATGTCAACAAAATATTCAAATCCCGTACGTAATAATAATAGGTGAACAACGCTATTTTTCATATTTAATTCCCGTACAGCTTAATAGTAAACATTACACTTAATTATAAGCATGACTGTGTAGTTCACAAATTTATCTCACTCATGAATCCTTGTGTCAAATACAGAATACACCTTAACAAAAAAAAAACTTTGCACTTATTTCAAATTTTTTTGTTCAATGGCTTATTGCTCCCATGCAGACATTAATTAAAGGTTGGGCTTTTTAACAATACAAGATTGGGAAAGAAGATTTGAAAAAATTGTATTATTATTGTACAGTATCTTAACATTGCTAAATTCCAAGGTACATAGCAGATCGACTTTGCCAGGATTAACAAAACTATTTCCTTCACTACACAGAAGTAACTTCATTTTGCTCACAGCATCGAACATAAAGCTCATTGAAAAGAAAGCAAAAGCAAAATTATCGCTAAAATTGTCTTTTATTTACTGACAAGCATATTTAAAACCAAGAGATAAAGCAACATTTCACAAAAAAGACAGAAAAATAAATAATACACATAAATAATTCTATCTCTATAAATATATGATATAGATAACAATATTATCCATAATTCTGGAATGGATTTTAACCTTGTTTTTATCAATGCTGTTTGGTTGAATGTTTCCTTATTTCATTTATAAAACAGTAAAAATATTTAAATTGGTAAATAGGAGAAGTTAATAATAAGACAAATGGCTGTTGGAGAGGTTGGGAAGACATGTAGTTTTTAAATGGTTGATATTTAATTCTAACTGGTTAAGCACAATGCTATTAGAGACCATCGCAAAATTTCAACATTTAGGTCCAAACAATTAACCAACTGATAGATCTCAAACCACCCACTCACCCACCTGTGCCGATGGAGGAAGAAAATGTTGATATTTCCATTCATGATTAAATATTAAATAACCGACATTTAAATTGTCATGTTCTATCCTCTGTGTTGTTCAACCCAGGCACCCAGTTCTGCAGGTTATTCGTTTGGACGCCAGAAGTGTTGAAATGGTCCCTTACCTTGTACATAGCGAACAAATTAAAACTATATATCAATCATTACACTTCAAAAAATCTTATTTTTAAATGCTGTAGAATAGGGGAGGGAAGACAAAATAAATATATTAGTCTAAAACGAGATGTGGTTAAAAATAAATAATACATGAAAATCATGAAAATAAGATTCCTTAAAATTTATAGATCCTTTTTTTTCCAAAAAATGATAATGCTGTTCATAGTTCCACTTTTGAAATTTAATTCCAAAACTTTAATATTTTTGGTTTCGAAAAAAAATCTTGTAAATGAATTTTCAATTATTATATAATAGACATATTAAAGAAAATGCTGATCTAATCACAATGTTTATTTATTATAAAATAAATAATATAGGAAATATAATGCTGTAACTAATCACAGATTTTAACTAATTAATATTTTGATAAATCTATGTTTATACATAATGTAATGCTGATTGCCCTAAACTTCTATAAAAAGATATATACCACTAAGCTTATTTCATAATAATATTTAAGAAATTTATATCTTGTTGAATGTTAATGCTTCTATTGAACAAATATATATTTCAAAATACCAGATTATTTCCAAATACTAAATTTTAGACTTTATAGCTAACATAATTAGAATACTGGATATTTAAGATAATCTATAGTCACGTCAAAATACTGAAATCTATAACTCTTTTTCTACATATATAGATTGAAATAATACTCAAATACTCCATGATTAAATACTTGAAATAAATTCTAATGTAAGCTATGTTAAAAAATATGCAAACACCTAGGTGTCACTTTAAATTAACAATTATATTTATGCAAGTCACACAACCACAATTAATTAAGGTGATCCATTGTTTAGCTGCTTGATAAGTTTTACTTTTATATCAATAAATAATTGTTATAAATAATTTAATACATATTATTATACATATATTACTTCATATACATAAAATACTTTTAATATATAATGACTGATTACATCAAGCGTTTTCTGCAAGTTAACATACTGAGAGATATAACAAATGGATGGTTCAACGAGGTCAAAAATGGTAAAATGCTTCTTTCATATCTGGACGGATGTTGAGAAAACAAATTTTAACAAGAGGCAATATTAATGCATATAAGTTGTTAGACAAGGCCTCGTATTATGTTTTTTTTATTAATGATCAGTTATAATATTTCTCCTTTATATTCCAATATTATTAAGGTTAGTATTGTTTACAAAATATTTACATCACATGTTACGACAAAACTGTTAGTAAAGTCAAAACAGTTTTTTTTATTTAAAAAGTAATAATAAAACAACCATACATAATTTGATATGATATGAAATATTATATACATTTTTATCTTTGATAAGATCCAAGATGATATGATTTGATGTCTTTTCTCTAAAGTAGTAATACAAGATCCAAGATGATATGATTTATCTTTAAAAAGGCTTTTAGTGATACAGACAACTTTATGGATATCATTCAAATAACTTTATTAACTGCAGGGTACTCTCATCATTATCAAATCATTGCTTGATAACAATCAAGAGTACCCTCATTGAAATGTTGCAGCTAATAAACTTAGAGAAAGAGAGAGAAATGGGGTTTAACGTCCACTCAACACAAACTAGGTCATTTCGGGACTAACACACGGTTCATTTTTATTTCAATAATTCGATTGCGCATAGGGGTCTTTAGCAGTGGGAGGAAACCGGAGGACCCGGAGAAAACCCACGAGGTTGGACAGGCAACCCTACTCCTTGTCATGTACAACCAAACTTAGAGAATGATATCCATAAGGTTGTCTATATTATATGATTTGATATCTTTCCTCTATTAAAGTAGTAAGATAATTTAGCCCCATATAAATATTTAATACTACTATAGAAAATATTCACAATGAGAAAAGAATTAAAACATAAGAGGCGACAAGGAAAAATGTAAGTTAACGAAGAATATACAAAGATTTGTTTTGCTTGATGCTGCAGAAAAACAAAATGAAAATCATTTTGAACAGGAATAACAAAATGAAATTCCAACCCAAATTTAAAAATATAATGAAAAATAATAAATTTGTATCTATGTACATAAAAATAAAAATCAACTCTTTATATAATTTATAGTCTATACTATACACACAAATAATAAATTATTAAAAATTATATAAAATTATTTACAACAGATATCTCTCTATAATATATGATTGAAAATGACTATAAAAAAAAATAATAAAATTATGACTTTAAAAGAGAATGAGACAGATAGCTTTATTATAATTACAGTAGAAATTCTCAAGCACAAAAAAATAATTTGTAGTAAAATAAATAAGAATCAAATTTAATACTTCAATAATAAAAAAAAATCAAGTGGTTTAAGAGTCACAGCAGTATACAACATGTTTAATATATATATATATTTATTATATATATATATTTCAGCAGTTATATTAAACAGACCTTCAAAATATTACATAGATCTGCTATATCATAAATACCATGTATAAATTAGCATAATTTAAATTATTTCACACTATATTTAGACATATTTGCATAATTAATACAATTCTGGACGCAATTCTACTGAAAGGATAGATATGCTTCTATTGATAGAAATATATAAAATTGTTTTTATTTACATATATAATAATGCTGTTTTAATTAATACATCTGAATGGTATCCACAGAAGGAACTATCAGCAAAATAAATAATGAAAAATCAACATTAAAAAAAAGAAAAAAAAGATCTACATCTTTTTGAGTTATTCTGGTAGAAATATACAGATCTAATTCATAATAATATCTGAATAATTAAGTAATTATCTTTGTAAGAATTTGCATAGTTACTGGGCTATTCAAAAAAAAATCTTAATCTATATAATAAGCTAAGGAAATATTATCTTAGAAGATGGTGCCCTATGTTTATTATTTAAATATTAATACTATAAATAAATTATATAATATTTATAATAAATATGGAGTCTAATTAAATTATGAATAATAGCTAATAATTCATTTTAATTACTTTAATAAACTTCCACATTTCATTATTTTATCAAATGTAATTAATAAATAAAAAAAAACAAATAAATTAATACTTAGCATAGTGAATCACAATTTCTTAAGAGACATAATCATTAATACAATGTATTGTAATTAACACTAAGTAAATAAATGTATTGCATGATGATATATGATAATATAATGATGTGTTTTCTTTTATTCTCTGTAAATGTGTAAAAAATATGCTGATTCTCATATAAAAATGACCGTTTCTATCTAAAAGGCAAACAGTTAACTGTTATCGGCCATACCAAGTAACTGTGTAGTGGAATCTAATGAGTTTCTATCTAAAAGGCAAACAGTTAACTGTTATCGGCCATACCAAGTAACTGTGTAGTGGAATCTAATGAGTTTTTGAGATCCAGCATGGTGTTTAGAGCTGTGGTGTCAACGCCTAGCAGGTTTTGTAAAATGTCCGGACTTTCCCCTTCTTCACTTTGATTATCATCGGATGTCTGGAAAATACAATTGGTAAAAATTAATCATATTTTCTAAATTAAAGAACTGTAGGTCCAGACATCTTACTTGTGTGCTAATAGGATGTTATCTCATAATTAACAATCTATTCAGGAGAGAAAAAGAGACATGGGGTTTAACATCCACTTAATGCAAGCTAGGTCATTTCAAGACTAACATGGTACAATCTTAATTCAATAATTCTGTTGGGGGTAGTAGGGGTCTTAGAAGTGGGAGGAAACTGGAGGACGTGGAGAAAAAAACATGTTTTTGATTAAAACTACACCACTTGACTAAATAACAAACATTATGATCTACAGTACATGTGATAGAGTACTTGGCAACCACCCCAACCCCTTTCTATCCATGGTGAATCAGTTTTTTATCAGGGGCCTGTTTCACGAAATTTAAACTAAGATAAAATCCAAATTTTAGTAATTTGATTGGATAATATTAGATTGATTTTAGTGCTTATAGCCAATCAAAATTGAAGTATCTACTAAAATATGGATTTTATCTTCAGTTAAGATTTCGAGAAACAGGGCCCAGGTCAATAAACTTTCATGTATTCAAGTCCAATAATACTGTCCACAAACTCAATCACTCTGATCCAGTCGCCAAAATAAATACCGGCGGATTTGAAAACATTTTCCTATAAGTTAATGCAGATAGAAGAAGTCACAGAGTACTGTGTTAAATGAATCATTTGTTTTATAGTAGATTAATAAGTTAAAAGTATTATTAGATTTTACTTACATCAAGTTTATGTCTAGTAATAACATTATCTATCTCCTGTTTATAAGGTAGAACTTGGGGCATTGTTACAGATACTGGTACACGAGGTGAATAAAACGACCCACCTGTTAAGAAAGAAAAAATTTTAGTACATAATATTGACAAAGGGATAGTTTATTAGCAATAGCCATAATTACTTTGTTTAAACCATTCAATGAACCATATAGATATAGAAAGTCTTTAAGCTTGCATCTCAGTCTAGTAAAGATTCAATAATTATTAAGACACCATAAGGCTCCATCAATTCGATTTTCTGTTCTTTGGGGTCTTGAAAAGAAATTCGCCACTTGAATCACATGAAAGATATTTTGTTTAAAATTCCGAAACTTAAAAGTTTGGAACTAAAGTCTTTTGAACAGCACAACCAAGTACTTTTGGTTTTTAAATAAGTCTTTTTCCCGAAGAAACATGAAGGACAATTTTTACAGGTGAACCTTTAGAATAGAAAATCAAATTAGTCTGGCCTAAGATTCAAATATAATCGATGGAATTGAGAGATAAAAAAAAAAAATGATTGAAATAAACATAATGAAAACGTACTTGGTGGTTCATCAGTATAATAATTATCTGTATCATCTAGAGTAGAATCTAGACCATTATTACCATGTTTACGTCTATGTCTCATCATACTATGTTTTAACGTAAATCGTTTATGACATATATCACATTCAAATGGTCTCTCACCTGAAACATATAGACAAAATACTGTTGTAGAGCAAAGACTTGGTTGTAATTAACTACTCTTATCTCAGGTGAAACATTATACAATATATTTGTTTACAGATAAAGACTTGGATGTCACTAGATTTTAAGTTGAAATGAGATGTGATCTATTCATCGTAACCTTGTTTCGGGTTACACAACTCATGGTAATCATTGAGAGAATGAGAGAGTGAGAAAGAGGGTTTAGCATCCACTCAACACAATCTTGTTCATTTCGGGACTAATGTATGCTTCAATTTTATTTCAATAATACGCTTGCGCGCAGGGGCATTTAGCAGTGGGAGAAAACCGGAGGAGCCGGAGAAAACCCACAAGGCTGGACAGGCAACCCTACTCCTTGTCATGTACAACCGAGAAATCGAACCCATGCCAGTTGATTCAATGACAGATCTTATGATACACTGCGCACACGCTAACCATTCATGTGCACGAGCTAACCATTCGGCCGTCCCCCGGTAATCATTGAAATGTTACAATAAACAACCTATCATTTCGACTTATAAACTGTTCTGGACTACCATTGAAAGAGGATATTCTGTTAAAACTAACATAAAGTGTATGATAATTACCAGCCATGTGCTTTATGAACCCCAAAAAACAAACTGCTTTTAAGTTAACTAAAAAGTAAACTGCTTTAGCAAATTATTGACTACGTCAATACAATCTTCGTTGTTACTACGTAACAGAAAAGTTCAAATATTAAAAAAAAACTTTTTTAAAAAAGACACAATGACAAATAAGCAAAGAGCTTCGAAACACGTCCTTCGCTTGTGACTGGGCAAGCACGCACTGATTTTCGCGGGCAAGGTGTTGAAAAATTACCTGTATGAGATCTCATGTGACGACGTAAATCCTGTAAAGACCAGAATCGTTTAGGACAGAGAGAACAATACACTTTACGTTGAAAATAATCAGCTGTTAAAACATCTGCTCTTGATGATTCTATTGCCATATTTATAGACAAATCTTTAGTTTCAACATCAAAATCTAAAGCACTACTTTTAGACACCATATTGTCAATCTGGCTTGAAAATTCATCAATATTCTTCACACCATTCTTTTCATGTAATATTGACCAATCGCTAGCATGGTTCTTTTCCTTGTGTTTTAAACATTCTATTCTAACATCAAAAGACGCATCACAAAGATAACATTTATAAGGTAAGTCGATGTTGTGCTCCTTTAGATGTCGTACTAACAGCTTTCTGGAGACAAATTCTTCGGAACATTTCCAGCAGTTTGTAATTTTATCAACATTGTAGTTGTCACGTTCAGGATTGATATGTTTCTCAGCTGATCCACTAAAAACAAACGGATCTACGTTATTGTTAACATCGTCATCATCGGACAATGGTGCCTCCTTGGTTGTATGTTCTTCTAATCTTGGACTGATAACAATAACATCATCTTTATCTTCTGGGGAAACAGAACCTGGCTCTAGATCATTACTTGTCTGCTATAAAACAATAATTATCATTATAATTATTTTGTTCATCTAATGGCATTTTTATTTCATTATTTTCATTTCATTGGGAAACCAAAATTCAAAACCTCATTCATCCAGTTAAACTAGAGCTAGATAGAGAGAGAAATGGGTTTTAATATCCACTCAATACAAACTAGATCATTTCGGGACCTGGAGAAAACCCACAAGGCTAGGCAGGTGACCATAATCCTTGTCATGTGCAAGTGTGGTACGAAATCACACCACTTGATTCAATGACAAACCTTATGATCTAAAACAACCTGTCCGTAAACAAGAGCCTTGATTTGAAAACCACATCTTGAAGACAGGAGGAGGACAATGAACATCCATAACACTTGGGCATTATTACCGGTAAACATACATTATGCAAAAGCTAAATCTGCCATTGTAGGTCTTTCTTTAGGCCTAAAATGTTATCTAAATTATAAATTAGACATTAATTAACTTATCCAGACCATAATCAACGCTCGATGTCAACACTAGCCTGCGATATTTATTGGATTACGTTCAGATCTGATGCTCAACTTTCATTCTTGATTTAATCATGAAATGGATAATCGAGACTGTTTTTTATCGTACCGACTTTAGTAATGATCGAGGCTAGGCCTAAAATTCAATCGCTAAAATCTCGATCTAGAGTTGATCAATTTTACTGAAATTTTCAGCAAAGTCCCTTTACATTATCCAGTTTTTAACTATTATAGTGAGAACTGCCAGCTCTTTATCCAATCTCCCATAATGTTTTTATTTACAACTTGACAAATTGGCACCTTTTGAAGCTTTTCAGGATTATTTGAACTGAAAAAAAAAGTTATACAAAGAATTGTTAACCTCACCTCCTCGGTTTCATCATAAGATATTTTACTATCATCATTTATTATCATGTTTTCATTCAATGAATCATCTAACTGTGATTGATGTGTTTCCATATCACTAATATCACATCTAGATAATCTTTCTGGTACAGGATTTTCAGGATGACGATCAGAATAGTGCTTTAATAAATTACCTGTCAAAATAAATCATTTAATTCAAACATACATTGTATAATCTAAGCAACCTCAGAGTGTGTTTGGACCAGAATCTTGTCCCCAAGACTGCTCATCTTGTTCTTGTTGTTTATATTCTTGGTTTTTTTGACAACTGTGCATCGATTGACTTCAATTTTTGATATGACGTTACAATTCCATGATCTCTATTGTCTGTGAAGACTTCATGATCTGTTCTTGGTTCATTATTTATTTTGTTTTTTTTTCTGTTTTTTTTGACAGAAGATAATACTTTAGCTATTTTCAATTTCAAAATTCAAAGAGAAGTTTGCAAGGCTAACAGTCTACACAGCAAAAAATCCTTTAATTCCAACAGACTAAAATCAACTGTAGTAGTAAACTAGTAGCACGCAAGTCATCAGGAGTTATTGGATCTCTTGACAGAAATACTCTTTTCCCCTTGATGTGTTTCAAATTAATTTGTACTTACTCTTAGTGGCGAATGAACTGAAGACACAAAGATGACATTTATAAGGCCTGTCCATTGTCAGACGTGAAGCTGGATCTAACATATTAACACCATGTTTACGTATTAGATGGCGTTCGCGGTTTGATTTGGTGGAGAATGTCACAGGACATCGAGAACACTTGAATGGCTTTTGACCTGGAAATTTCAATAATAATTCTGATCAATAAAATCCAAATAGATCATGATTAAGCCAGAATAAAAAAGATGTATATTCTGGCAACCAATAAACCAATTTCCCCCAAAACTGCTGCTTAGCGTCCCTTTGGCTATTTGAACAATTTCTGAAATTTCATGTTGATAGCACTATTAGAATGAGATATTTTAAAATCCATTTTGTCGAGTAGTGCCTCCCCTTAATCACATGTCAGTACCTAACGAGATTTAGCGCCAAAAGATATAAAGATAAAGGATATACATATTTACCTGTATGTGTTAGAAGATGTCTGTTTAGAGAACTGACCCAAGGGAAAGATCTGGGACAATAGGGACAATTTAATTTATGTGGAGAATCAGCATAGGAATTACGTTTTTTCTTTACACCAGTGTCAGGTAACTCTAAAGACTTTGTTTTAACATCATTGGAGTTATCTGGTCTTGGTGTTGTATTGATATTTACATTATCAGTCTGAAATGTAAAAGTACGAAATATTAATTTATTCACATTCTGACTAAAGCATCATGTTTCCCTCAAAATTACATTGATTTTCTCATGCAAAAAATTATTCATATTGCAGAAGACGTTTAAAAAAAACAACAACCCTGGTGACATAGAAACTGGTGGTAATCAGGACATAACACCTAGTTGCCCACAAGATCAACTAAAATTATGATGTCATTTGACGTCATCTCAATGGTTACTGTGCAGCTTTTCCCACATGTTCAACTGGTTTGCACATTATTCTGTTTGAAAATATGATTAACAATTACAGCAAACGTACAGGTTATTCTATCTAGTTCATGAGTATATGATCAAACATACAAGCAAAACTCAATTTTTTAGTTGACACTTATTCCAAATAGTTATCATAGATTGAGGTAAACTTAAAGCGAACTCATATTTTTGGACAATGCTATTCATCTTGTTGTATAATTGTTCTTCTTGGGGGTAATGCTCTTTAAGAAAAGGTCTAAAGCTCTGCTAATTCAAGTACGATCGACATGAAACTGGGCACACTAGTTCCATGGACTATTGTGCATCGACGGATAGACTTTGAATTTTGATACAATGTCACAATTCCAAGATGGCTGCGATGACGTCATGCTCGGTTCCTGGTCTATAATACCCTCGAACTTGTTATATTTACCTTATCTAGAGAGTTGTCTTCAACATCAGAGAAAACATCGGAATCACATCCTATATTATCTACATCATTATCTTCCTCATCAACATTACTACCTAATGTATGATTACTCAATTCATTTTCTCTAGACTGGTTTAAAAAAGACTTGAAGTTTTGAGACTGAGCAGCAGTCAGCATTCTATTTACAGGGGCAAGATCCGAATTCATATCAAAACCTGTAAATATACATTAAAAAAGAGTTAATGACTAACAACAAAACTTGATTCTTCATGGTAAAACTACAAGAATTTTACTAATCCTAACATAAAGAACATTTTACAGCACACGATTGGACTGCTTGAGTTTTTAATCCAATATTTTCTCCCTTATATATACCTGTTACATTCAATAAACTTGCACTCTACACTGCTGAACTAAATTATCATTTTTAGGTTTTAATTACTTTTTAAACAAGCCAGTGGTCAATCAAGTATATCGTTTCAGAATTCATTTGAGCAAACTAATTATCATGTACATTGTCACTCATTCCCTTTATGTTAACATAATTAGTAGTGCATTGAGGCATTTAGTGTCTGTTTAGTTCATGGAGGCACATGTAAAGAGACTATTTAATCAAGACATATGTATGTTTGACATTTCGTATGAATGATTGCATATATAATTTGGCATAATTTGGCTTTGGTAAATAATATAATGTCCTGTTGGTAATATAGTCAAATTAAATTGTCAATAAAATAATGAAAGCAATTAAAACCAAATGATATCCATGCATAAATCTTAAAGAAAAGAGTCATAAAACACAAAACTGAAAACATACGTAATAAAACAAAAATCAAACTTGAATAAGTTTAATGACAGGTGGTTTCATGCATAATATTAAACAAATAAAATTTACATTTCTTAAACAAAAACTAAATAAAGATTTTAAATAAAAAGTGTAAATTATAAGAATGATCTATAAAATAAAGAGAAAACAACATTCTCGGAATGGAACTTAAAAACACAACAATAGGTTTCTAGGTTTATTAACCAATACTTACAACGGTGTTGGATCCAAGTAGGCTAAACAATAATTCATCACATTCTTAATCATATCAAATTTTATTTTTAGCATGTCATTTTATCATGTCAATTTATAACAAGTTCATTTCCATCCATAGGATCTTAAAGCAGGATGTTAAACCCCATTTTTATAGGATCTTGTGCTACTTCTTGGAAACCCAGATGAGCAAATTCCCTCACAGTAAAAAGAGAGAAATGGGGTTTAATGTCCACTCGACACAAACTAGGGTCATTTGGGCAATCTCCGCCCACCCTCACAGTAGAAACAAGTAACAATATTGACCAGTGTATGAAGAGCTTCAAACTCTTTCAACTAATAATTTTCATCCATTTTGTTTTCCTAATAAAAATTCTAGAACTTAATAAATAAATGACACAACTATTCATATTTTTAACTAATTACTTTCATCCATTATAGTTTAGTAATGTAGTTTGATAAATGATACAAGAGAAAAAAAGTTTGTGTAAAATACTAACCTGGACTAAACAGTGCACTGATTGCCTGGTTTGGATACGGACTGTATTTAGCAAAAGCTGGATGGATGGGATAGGGCATTATAGGTAATTTTCTAGGTGTCGATGTTTCTTGCAGCCACTTGCGGTTGTTATTAGTATCTTTCTCTGGTGTGATATCGTGGACTTGTTGAACATGAAGACTGAGTTCCGAACGAACAGCAAAAGATCGCAAGCAAAATGGACACTGATAATGATGTATTGGTGAGATTTCTGTTTGTTTTAGCTTTAAATAAAAAAGAAGTAAGTTCTTAATTGCCTTAGCTATATGTTTTCAGAAAATAAAACTCAGTTTTGAATTTATATAATTGTTATGGAATATTGATATATTTAACATTATAACACCTAATACAGGTAATTAACTGACAGTTTATTTTTTAAAAATTATGTAATATAGTAATTATATCTCATCATAACCTTCATTCATTGTGTGCCACTGTCACCTTTCCTACTCTTTATGGGGATGCTCGATTGAACGTTTTGGAATTGAATTCTGTCAAACCCAAAAATAGTGACAATCGAGTGAAAATGCGCCGACTGCATGAGAAAATATCTCAACCAACCACGACAGCTGAAACATATTCAGTAGGTTTAATTACGTCACGATTCTACTCACACCACCTCTGTTGTCGGGACTGACAGAACAGTGATAGGACTGAATTCCATGTCACTCGATTGCAATTCCCTCAATTCAGAGCATCAATTCGGACTGACAATCGAGCACCCCCTAATAGTTATTGGAGTCCTATGGAGTTATTATCTCCCATCAATTCAAATTTGAAACAAAAGTGAATCAATTACCTTCTTTTCCTCGGGTGTTCCATATTCTTTCTTTACAGATAAGTCCATGGGTTCATTGTCATTAATATCCGAGGTATCATGACATACACGTGACTTACTCAAACCACCATCTTCACGCTTCACACTAAAATCTAATGGTGCTTCACTTCTGCTTATCTCATGTTTTAAAAGATTCTGACCAATCAAAGGAGTAAAACCAGTGTTGAATGCTGGGTGGGTTGAAGGGGAAGCTGAAGGTGGAGCTAGAGAAAACAATATGTAAATCAGATTAGTAATATTTCTTTAACTAAATATCATTTAAATGAGAACTTCTGAAAGCCAGAGGCAAAATTTAGAAGAGAAAGATAGAGCATTGGGGGTTAAATGTCCACACAACACAAACTATGTCGCTTTGGGACTATAATTTGCTTGAGCTTAGAGATCTTTAGCAGTGGCAAGAAGCTAAAATAAACAAGCCAACAGTGAGGCTGATGTCCCCCGTCGAAATCCCCAAATAAATAGATGACACATATTAATTAATCGCACATCTATTTTTTTCCAAAGTATCAAGCAATCAAACTGATTATCAACTATACACTAAGTTTCATCACTCTCTATCAGATAGAATCAAAGTTATCTTGTCCCAAAGCAGGAAATTGCTTATCTCTGCTGAGCTTTAGCTTGATATGTTAATCATTGAACTCAGTCAAGACGAACATCTACATCAAGTTTAAACATTCTACCTCAATTAGAAGAAGAGTTGTTGAACTCAGTCAAGACGAACATCTACATCAAGTTTAAACATTCTACCTCAATTATAAGAAGAGTTTGACCAATCAAATTGCTTATCGCTCTGCTTACCCTGAGCAGAAAATGCTCATTATCGAACTTTGTCAAGGTATTGATGTAATGAAACTATACACCAAGTTTCATCTCTCTCACTTAATTAGAACTGAAGTTATCGTGTCCCAAAGCATCAACCAATCAAATTGTTTATCTCTGCTTACCCTAAGCCGAAAATGCTCATCTTCGAACTCCATCAAGGCATTGACCCAATAAACACCTACACCAAGTTTGAACATTCTAGGTCAATTAGAAGGAGAGTTATTTTGTTCCAAAAAGTGTGACGGACAGACAGACAGACAGACGGACGAACCCATTTTAATAGTCCCCTGCTTTCTTCGAAAGGCGGGGGACAATAATAGACAATGAGATGCACTGCCTGTGAAATTGTATGTGAAGCCGCAATGGCTCAGTGGACAAGGCCCTGGCTTTGATAAACCAAGATCCGACCCATTTACATATTATTGTGCTGTGCACATAAAAGAGCCCTTGATCATTGGAATTCAAAATAAGAGAAGTTTGTAGCGCTGTGTCCTTCACAGCACACTATATGCCATAAGCCGGTCTTCATTAATCCAGTCGGTACAGAAAAGTAGGACGTTAAAACCCATTTCATTTCATTTTGTGTTATTGTATATTTGTCAAATACTGAGAAACTAAGGATATAAACTTTTGAACTTACCTTTCACAAAATGATTTTGTGGAAAAAGATTATTATTATCTGATTGAGAACTGTCCGAATCTATATCCATAGCTGTCGTCAGCTCGTTAACTTGTATTAGTTGTTCTATATCAGACTGATCAATTTCTGTATGTTGTTTCTGAATATGTCTTACACAATTAGCCTTGGTAGAAAATCCAACCTAATTACATCAAAAATAAGAAGAAGCAAAATATTAATTTTCTGTATATAGAATGCATAAAGGATAGTTCAGTTCACCCACTTGCCAACATATAAATATATTTCATTCAGTTGCTGAGGTTAAACTTTGTTGTCTGTATACAAAAGCATGGAAAATAAAGAAGTCTTAAAACTCAAGCTCTTGGAAAGTCTTTGATAAAGTTTATTTAAATGTTGGCTTATCTTGGCTGTGCTGGGTATGCTAAAAAATGTGACTATGCTAGCTTTACTATAGTAAGTTAACTTTGTGGAAAATGACGACATGTGCCCATGACTAATCAACTTTGACCTTATCTTTTTAAAACAAGACTGGTTATGGTTTTCTGGTATTATATCAATAAATTTACCTGGCATTTTTGACACAGAAATGGTTTGAGTCGACAGCTACTGTGAGAACGTAGATGATGTTTTAAGGCTCGGAAGAATTTAAAATCTTCACCACAATATTTACACACTGTGTCTGGTGAATGGAATGAATTAATTTGGTTACGTTCACGTTCCGATGTTGTGTATTTATTATAACCAATAGACTTCTCAATTTCCTGCTTTTCGGTCTTAAGATGCTTCTTCCTGAAAGAATGAATAACCATTTGCTACAGAATTTTACACCACATTATTTGGGTAATTTCTAGTTTAAAATAATCACTGATCAAATGATAAAATTCATATTAAAGATAAGTAAACATATCTCTCTGCACAGTTCAATACTGTTTTATTATTGAATGCTAGCTCCAAAACTTAATACTGGCAGTAAGTTCAGGCTTCAGAGTACAAGCAAGCTTAACATTTGTCAGTGGAAATGCTCTGACATGGCATTTTATTTTCTGTACTATTTACTGGAAACGACAGAGGCAGATTTTCTTTAATTTTTAGTGAAAACAGCAGAGGGAGAGAGAGAGAGAGAGAGAGAGAGAGAGAGATGGGGTTTAATGTACTCTCCACACAAACTAGGTCATTTCGACTAACACATGGTTCAATTTTATTTCAATAAATCGCTTGCGCATAGGGGTCTTTAGCAGTGGGAGGAAACCGGTGGACCCTGAGAAAACCCACGAGATTGGACAGGTGACCCTACTCCTTGTCACATACAACCGGGGAATCAAAACCACGCCATCTGACTCAATGACAGACCTTATGATACAGCGCGTGCTAACCATTCGGCCATCTAACCCCCATAGAAGACTTTGGATGATATTGAGTTAGAGACTTAGCTACGTTAACTACTTGTATATATAACTTACAGAGAATATTTTCTTTTTTAATCAGATTCCAAATGGCTAACACATGCTAACCATTTGGCCATCCACCCCACCCCCCTCCAACAAGAGAGACGTAGATGAAGGAGGAGTTGATATTTTTGCTGTAGTGGACCCAGAAGTAAAGAGTTGGTGAGAGTCAAATGGATTAATATCTTACTTGACATGTCTCTCACAATTAGCCTTGGTAGTAAAAGCATAATCACAGATAATACACTGAAATGGTCGTTCTCCATTATGTGTTCTAAAATGCCTTATGAGTGTACTCTTATCAGCACTAGAGTAATTACACATACTACATTGATATGGTGATAAACCCATGTGGATTCTTTTATGTGCTGTAATAAAATATAGACATAATAAACATTGTGAAATTCTTGTATTAATATCATGCATTATTCACCAACAACAAACCTGGTCGGTTTTTAAAACAATTAAAAAAGATGCGGAAATACTAAGCGTGCTTTTATCATGCCTCACAATAATGTGCAACAGATACTTTACAATACAAAACACTATTTGGCCTTCCTTCTAAGATTAAATCTTTTTCCTATCGAGCATTAAACATTAATTTCCAAGCTAAACAAGCAATTTCCTTCTCATATCATCTTTGAAATTTACCTCATTCATGCAGGTATTTAAAAATAAGAATTATTTGACATGCAGGACATGCTTCAAATTAAAATTAGTTTATTCTATTTCTAATCAAACTAACTCACCATTAAGCGTTTTCTGATTAGGAAACACCATTTCACAAAATTTACATAACAAACCAGTAGCCTTCCCATCATGCACATCACCACAACTTCCTGTACCGTCACCCGACAAAATAGAGGAGGCGGGACTTGTGCTTACAGCTAGCGGTGAATCAGCATGCAACATACTTCTTTGGCCGCTTAACGGCATATTACTTACATTAAAGGGGAATAGACCTTTAAAATAATTGATGGCAGTATGTGGTTGGTTGATATCTGATGTTTCTTTAGTGGGTGTAACAGCAGGTGAGTTTTGCGATTCCTCATCCATTTTTTCAATTTTAACAGAAACTTTTGCATTATCAATCTCAGATTCCTTAGGTTTTAGATCCAACATAGAAAGAAATGAGTTTTTGTTCTCTTCACCAAGCTTTCGTGGTAGAACATCATCAGATTGTATTTCTGATGCTTCGTGGGATCTACTTTCTAGATGAGAATCGGTGTGGAGCATCAGTGCACTGTTACATGGGAATGCCTTTCCACATTCTTTACAAATGAATTCCTGTTGAGTGTTTCCTGCATTTCTTTCATGCTGTTCACACCACGTCTTCGCAACTAGAGGAAATTTAGGAGTTGTGAAATCGATGAAGTCGATATCTTCAAATCCACTCTTGGTTGATTTTGGGGATGGTGATGGAGATGATGATTGTGATGGGGTTGGTGAGGGAGTTGGAGATGATGATGGTGTTCCCCCAGTCTCTTCCATTTCTTCAGTCTCTCCCTTCTCTTCTTTTATTGGTTCCTCATTACTGAAGTCATCTTTACTTGGTGTATCAGTGGTTTTACCTAACGGTGTATTGAGGAAAGGGTTTTCGTGATTGTGTTCAGTTTTCAAGTGAGTCATATAATCCACAAGAAGAACATGTTTACTACACAGGGGACATGGTAGTTGTTGATTATACGGAGAAAAACTCATCTGTAAAAATATATATATAATTCATTCTTACCATTGTTATAATGTTACAATAATGAAAATATAGTACAAGAACATCCAACTTGAACTAAATTGTTGTCTGCTGAGACAGGGACGTGCTGTAAAACTGTTGGGAGGCAAACTGCCACATAATGAACAGTGCTATGATCAGATCATTGTTGACATGAATATTCATGACATATGTATATCTGAATAGTAATGTGTGAGAAAGACAGTCTACTCTTGGTCATTTCAGGACTAAAATATTGCAGGAATCTTTAGCAGTTGGAGGAGAGAGAGCAAGAGAAATGGGATTTAACGTCCACTCGACACAAACTAGGTCATTTCGGGACTAACACATGGTTTAATTTTATTATTTCAATAATTCGCTTGCGTGTAGGGGTCTTTAGCAGTGGGAGGAAACCAGAGGACCAGGAGAAAACCCACAAGGTTGGACAGGCGACCCTACTCCTTGCCACGTACAACCGGGGATTCGAAACCACACCAATGACAGACTTTATGGTACAGCGCGCACGTGCTAACCATTCAGCCATCCAACCCCCCAGCAGTTGGAGGACCCAGAGAAAACCTATAGGTTAGGGCAGGCGACTTTACTCCTTGTCACTTATCAGCTTATGCTCTAACCCTCGTTATTTGATGCAAATGATAAACTTTAGATCACACATTAGATCACTCCCCCCCTCCCCCGCCACCACCCCCTCCCCTCACTCCATGGTTCTCAAGATAGTACGAAATACAAGTAAATTCGGGTTATGAGTTTTTTGCAATTTATGATATACAGTTCAACGACTGGTATGATTTTATAATATTCATGTATATAGTTTTTATTTCTATTAGACACTTACGGACATATCAGGATAAATAGGAAATGGTGGTCTCATTAAAGGCATGTAGGGTGGATACGGAGGCCATATTGGTCTTGGCATATAACCAGGCATAATTTTGTTTTTATGAAGTATTGATGGTTTCTGCGCATCTCTTGTCCAATCGAGATTTGGTGGTGCGGACTTAGTCAAGACTGATGATTCTTCTTGTTTTTCAGGAACATGTTTTCCCATTGCCTCATCTAAGTCTGTTTCGTCTGTGGAGGTGGAAAACAATTTTTCCTTCCAGGCAGATTTTGAGTTCGAGCGCTTGTGGGTTCTTGGGGAGCCTACACCCGTACCATTTTTCTGATGAATTCTGGAATGGCGGTGCATATTGCCATTTGTGGTGAATGTCATGGCACAGATCTTACATTTAAAAGGCCTCTCTCCTGAAATATGAAACGGAAAGAAATACTTTAAACACAACAGCATCTAAGTACAAGAAAGAGAGAAGGTGTATTGTTTAATCACCTGTTACAACATCCATTAGCAAATCGTCCTGATCACTTATAATTGATTTGACAAATGCTCGTCATCAACAAGTAACTATAACAGTAAATATTGACAACTGAAATGTCTATCTTGTATGTTACATATCTTATAAATTATGTATCCACATACATGTGTATCATGATATTATGACAAGGTTTAGTAATTTCACACCATTTACAATTTTCACGTCTGGCACCTAAAGGGTTAATAATACTTACAATTTTGGGCTACTGTTAATTACATTTTGAATGAGGTTATCAGAAACTGAAATATTTAAATCATAATTGATTTTAAAAAACTCACCTGAATGCACCAGCATGTGTCTATCAAGTGAACTCTGAGAACTCAGTATTTTATTACAAATTGTACAAGTATTATTTTGACTCATTTGGTTTCCTGCATTGTGCATTCTAATATGAACAGTGAGATCATGGTTTGAGGATAAATGTTCTTGGCACATAGGACAGATGTAAGTCGATCGCCCATCTCTTCCTGCTATTGGCAATATCTACAAAAAAAAAATTATCAAATACAAATAAATACTTTTACTGGTAAAATAATACTAAGTAAATAAAAGAATCAAATAGATAAGTCAATCAGACCTCTTTATTCATTGGCGGCTTTTCTGGTTTCTTGTTAATGTGAAAACAAAGTAGATATATTTCAATAAGTGACTGGGGAAACATATCAACAATGTAGCTCTGTCAGTTAAATGTATATTTCAACATTTGCTGAATCTACAGAAATTTACAGGTAGCCCTTTTAGCACTCTGAACTCTCGTGATTCACACTTGAATTAAAAATCAAACTGATTTGTAAAACAATTAACTGGCCGGCAAGCCAGGACCCAGTAAAAAAAAACATTGTCTAGAATGGACCTTTAATTAAACTACATTTGTAATAACCCGTTTTCTAAAATCAAATAATTTGAAGATGAATAGTTTACCTTGCTGGCATCTTTAAGTTTATTTAGTAGTGGCTGATCTAAGGTAGGACTACTGGACGGAGTAGATGGTGAGGTAAGTAATGATGATGGATTATCACCAGGGGAGGCGACTCTAGACATACCATCTTCACTATTTGAATTAGACTGTACCGATAAGCTGGAGTGAAACTGGGTTGGTAAGTTGACATCCACGTTTAGAGGCTGAAGTGATTTCATCTGTAGTGTAAAAACAAACTCTCATCATTATCTGTGTACAAGCTGTGTACAAGATAGAACAATGTTTTTATATAAATCTTGTAGTTCCAGGTGTTAGTTTAACAACAAAATCAATAATATTGAATCATATATGAAAATGATGAGACAGGAGATAGAAAAAAAGATTACAAAATATTCTGGAGGTGTGATGATAGGGATGATCCATCATGACAATAACTAAAATACTCAGTTTAAAGATGCATTATGTAATAGCTAAATTTGTTTATTCAGGTCTTTCTTATGGCTTCAAATGTTACATAAATTTTTATTTTGACATTAATTAACATGACAAGCCTATAATCATCTCTCTAGACCATAACTTCGCTCAGAATAAAGTAATTTGAATGAAATTTTTAACATATTCCTTTTTCATTATCTATTTTTGAACTATTATAGCAAGAACGGCTATTTCTTTATCTAAATCTTGCATAATGCAGCTTTATTTAACATGCAATTTTACACCATAGTGATATCGCAGATAACTCAGTGTTCTGGTTTGGGCCACAATATTTTTAATTCAGATGCCACTCACACTAACCCCAATTCGAGCAGTAAAGTGCTGGGTCTAGATTAACGGAATCCAAGGAGACGCATGTAAATTAGCCATTTATTTATGGGCGTTTAAGTGTATTGTACATTTGAAAATCATCAAATTGAATACTTGAATACAAATCAAGATAAAGCGAAACAATAATTGAAATTGCATCTGATTTTAATAAATTTATGATTTAATCAAAATTCATAAAATACAACAAAATTATGAATCAAGATGAAATAATATAAATTAATATGAATGTGTAGAGAGCAAATGTAAAATATTCAATGACTGAAATCCATCTCCTTAACCTGACTTGCATTTTCCAATAACTTATTAAATTAATTCAAATCAGTCGACAGATAAACAAAAGGGAGAAATCTGATGATATTGTTATTGAGTGAATTTATCAATAAACCACAACAATTTAATTTCCTTTTCTCATCAGCATGCTTTTAAAACTCATCACGCTGTTAAAGCACGATAAAGTCATCCAGTTAATTTCACGGTGGCAAGAAAGTTAGCGTATTACCATGCCTACACGATGTATCAAAGAAAACGTTTATATGAAATAATTAAAGCACCTTGGATATATTGATATTTTTGTTGAATACATCACATAGAGTAAGCTGAACTTTGTCCTAAAGCCCAATAAATCTTGTCTAGAATCAATATCAATATCATTTTATCCTCCGCATAAATTATTATCTCTTTTCATGTTTTGTAGTCATCACTTGAGAATGCATAATAAAATTTATTCTGTTGTAATAAAACAGCCCAAGTTAAACAATACCACCAACTTGACGTAATAAAAATTCATCCCTTAAACTTTCCTCAAGTGGGACAAAAGATACCAGGTAATGGCTACAACAATTCAGTTTTCTGTTATTTTTATCGTCATCCAATGAATCATTCAATCGGTGGTTATAGATTTCTTCCTGCAGTTTAATAATGCTGAGTTTTACATGATTGTACATGAATAGCTACTACCTGGTTATTTGAATTGAGGGTTTATCCTTACCTAATCTAAATGTATAAATAAACAATTTATACAACCCGGATCTACCCATATATAGAAAAAGTCTCAGAACTTATCTTGGATTATAAAAAAGTATATTTTTCTCAGTGTGATGCCATACTTTTGTTTGTTCGTTTATTCGTTCTTACTCTCCCGTCCTGGGCATTGCTCGTGAGAACAAGTGATAAACATACTAATTTAATCAGGACTGCTGGGATGATGACAAGCAGGTACTTACTGCCCCCCATTGCCACACTTGCTCCTATCTAGAGATGGTAGATACAGGTGCTGGCTGGCGATAAGAAGTTGGGGATCAATTGCCAATGTCGCTCATAACCTCACAGGTTGATACTATAATGCGGTCACACGGCTTAGGTGTTGTCCTGCCAAGCGCTTCAGCTCCTTACACATAACAGCATTTTCCAAGACCAATGCCACCAGCCTTAGCTTCAAACACACAACAGAACATTCCCGGGCCATCCCATCATAACTTTCTTAAATACCATCCTAATTTAATGGAGCTAAATCTATATAGAGAATATTCTGATATAAAATGTCCAATGACCATTAAAAGAAATTTTGTCAATATATCCAAAATGATCAGTTTTGATGAAATCTATATATATAATTTACTTCCTTCACAACACAAGTTTTTTTAATATGAGTATTAAGTTATTATTGTTCAATATTTGTTTACCTCGTCTTTATTCTGTTCCAGGTCTGTGTTTTTAATACTGTCTTCCTCTGTCCCATTCTTTCCTTCAAAAACTGAAAATATAAAACATCTATTGGTCAAATGTCATACAAGATTAATTTGTACAAGAATATAATTAACCTTATGTCAGATCACCCAACCTCAAATTTCTTGCACTTCTGAATATTGAACAAAATGGAAGAGAGCTAACATTACAAAACAGACAGATAAATTGTTCGACTGATACGTTCACTAAAAATAAGCTACAATATTAATTAAAGAGAGTGTTGGTTATGTCATAATATTCAGACTACTGGTTTATAATCCTACCAGAACATCAGATCTGGTGCACGGCCAACAACTTCATCCTCATAATGTTCTGATTTGCGAGATACCTGAAACACCTTTTTCAATTACTTTTATTTCATTTGCAATGAGAAAGATATGACTTAAAAAAGATGGTTGATCTATTTCTATATTCTAATAAAAGATAGATATGAAGACAGTTACTTGGATCGACTACCCTTTATTGAAGAACCTCAACAATACTACCAGATCTTTCAAAATGTTGTCCCTAGCTTAAAAATTGCCATATTTTTAATAAATTGGCCAAATTTGTTTATTTCGTTTAAATTAACTGTTAGTCCTGTTTCTACCCATTCCAATTAACAATTGCTAGTTCTGGTTCTACCAATAACTTCATGAATGCACCCTTTAATTTAGTAAGACAGTATATATCATCAATATAACCAATAAATTTAAGGTTATGTATTACCTATTTGAAAGCCGGAGGCCAAGATGATGTTCATTTCTGATCGTTTGGTAAAGAAAGTAAAAAGGTATGATTGATGCAGATAGATGATAAAAAAAGATAAATATCTATGATCTTCCCTCCAGGCATTTATCAACAACAACATCATCAAACACTTCTATATGTTCTTTTTTATTTTTATGCTTAAATATAACTTGTAGTCATAACATAATGTAATAAACAATAGGCATTAATATAAATATTAATCTTAACATCTATATTCAACCCAGAAATGTTGAATTTTACATAGTATGTTCCAGACATTAATAATTCCTGTATTATCAAAAATTTAATAACCTCCATATACTATGAACGGCAATAAACATATTCTGTAAAGAACATTTCTTACATAAGACATTACAGGTAACTAAATTTATTTTTTATCTTTAGGGTCTGGGGAGAAAAACTGTTAGTCATTCGAATGGGGCAAATTAAGAATAGGCTGTGGCGCTGCTATCCGGGCAAAATTTTCCCACAGCACACTGAATTAGCACGGATTACGTAGACTAGTTGGAATTAAACCCCATTTATTTTTCATCAATATTTTAAAAATCAAATTCTCTTTTAATATTCTATTCAATTCTCCCACACTCAGCAAATTTTTTTTTAAAAATCACTATTGAAGATGATAATTTATTCTATTTTAATGTTTTGTTAAAATTCCCAGTGAAAATTCTGTTCAATTCAGACTCCCTCAAGAAAAAAGCTAAAAATTCAGTACATGTATCAATCATTTCAAACTACTAATAGGTTTCGTATATTGCTATCATGTAGTGTAGCTGTTGAACTTGTTACTAAAGAATAATGTTTGCTACTATTGGTATTATATAAGTAGTATAACAGTAAGTTGAATAGATGGACGACCACCAGGTAACATATTGACTGTAAATAATGACATCTCTATAATGTAAATCTCTTATACTAACTGTGTATTACCTGAACCATAGATTGATAAAATAATATCTATCTACAAGCTTTTACATGTCTGATCAACATCAACATATATAATACAGTGTAATACATCTACATGTGTATCTATATTTTTGAGGCCACAATGTTTTCATTACATTATCGAAAACTTATTTTATCCATCTTTCATCACCTACAAACTTATGGTTAGAAATTTCGAATTTAATTCCCACACATAATTTCTGAACTCTGGTTTTTAACAAAAAAAATGTCAAAAATATATCTCAATTTGCACGAAAAAAAATAATTAGATGCTGAAACTTAAAATATCTGTATGTCCCATTGGTGTGATCAAACATGTTTTCTTCAAAGAATACAAGTTACATGTAACCGGTAAATCACTTAATTTGCAGTTTATAACAAAAAACAAACATATAAAATACATTCAACTGATAAAATAATTTTCTTTATTCTAAATAAGAACACCTGTTCATCCATGAGCAATTAAAATTTGGCATGTATTGGATATTCTTGCTGGATATAACTAAAATTCATATAGTGTAGATATAGTTATAGGCCATATTTTGTGCAAATATATCTATTAGTGTATTGGTCTAATAAAAGGCATAAATTATTATGTTTGGCCTCGATATATCCTTGATCGGTGGTGACTTATTGAAGTAGAAACCGTTACTCGACTAGCGTTTGAATAACTCTTTTGTTAAGGCCAATAAACCTGCCTCTTCAGATCCAATCCTCATCATCAATAGAAAAGTTTTGGGTCTCGCGTTTGACAGCTTGCCAGCCAGTACCATGGAGACTGCTCACGTAGGTTTTCTAAACACGATTGTTTAAGAGAGAAGCAAGTTTGTACACCTCTCAAAACTTTAATAAACACACAAAGCCCCCTGATATCGCTTCAGATCAGAGTCAAATCAGACCCGACTAATACTAATACAGAGTCAAATATATCACACAAATCTCGGGATGTTTTTAAAAATCTTATCACAATATAAATAGAACAAAATTATCTGGATTTGATTTCATTTTTGATTGAAGGATTTATCTTTTTTACTGGATAAGTTTATTAAACTTGAGCTTGGTGTACCTTTGCTTCCATGGGTATATAAAAATATAAAACATGTTTAATTTTGCCCAAAAAGTGTTTTTGTTATTTTGAGACTAGCATTTGTGACGTTTTATACTTTTTTAATTCCGCGCACTTATTTGTACATTCTCGTCATACCTTTTATCCATTCAGGCATTACCCGTGACAAAATCCTGAAGGAATAGTCCTCGGCTCAAGCTGGGAATTCAACCTCAACATTTCAATTTCGTATTCACCTGCATAATCGATGCAGCACCCCGAAATGTATCCAGTACCTCACAATTTATTTTCAAAACAACTCAATCTAAAATACATTTATTTACTTACAAAGTAATATTCTATTAAATATCCTTTATGTAATAAAATATTGTAACTGAATAGGCCTCTATGCACATAACCTTTACTCTCTAATATTTGCCATGACATTTATATGTGAATAGTACAGGTAACTTAAATTGTTAATGTTGACATGCTAATGGAAAAGCTTTCAAAAAATGCTTTACAAATCATTAAAAACATAGATCTTGTAATTTATTTTTTTACAAAAATATCTTACGGTATTCAAAGATCATGATATAAAAGGATGAAATAAGCTCACAATTATATAATCATATTTTGTTTTTGTACTGAATCGTAACAATCTCCAATACAAGATCAGCACAATTTGAACCTGCTCCCTTTCAAAATTATTTTATATTCTGAATACTCATTTACGTGAAAAAATATTTTTTTAAATGACAGAAATGAATTATTTGGGAATAAAACATATATTTCCTCAACAGTCGACATATATTTCAAACCAGGGAAAAAATATTTGTGGTATAAAACATAATATTTTATGAGATGCTTCTGGAGAAATTCAGTTTAAATCTACATACTACCAGGGAAAATATATTTATTGTCTGTATCAGTCTGTAGTTTTATTTTTCCTGTTTATTACGAATATCCACAACTTCAGATTAAAACAAGTCTTGTGGGTCAAACAGATGACCATTGTCTAATATGCTTGAAGGAACTAAGGAACTTAATATGTTATAAAATTGGTTTCTTTGGGGTTTTATATATTGTGTATTTGCCTTTGATACATTACTTGAAAAACCCAAAGTTAGAATTACAGTGGGGGGATGAGGTGTATTCTTGTTTTGAAAGAAATTTACTTCTTGTAAGATATAAACCAGGACAATATTTTTGTTAAATCCACCAGTACACTTGTGTTTTAAACATACATTATGCAAGAGCTAAATCTGCCTATTGCAGTTCTTTCTTTAGGCCTGAAATGTTATATAAATTATTAATTAGACATTAATTAACTTATCCAGACCATAATCATCTCTCGATGTCATCCCTAGCCTGCGATATTTACTGGATTAGGATCCGATTTACTGCTCAACTTTCACTCATGATTAAATCATGAAATGGATAATCGAGACTATGTTTTTTATCGTACCGACTTTAGTAATTTTAATCGAGGCTAGGCCTAAAATTCAATCCCTAAATTCACAGTTCAGAGTGGATCTATTTGACTGAAATTTTTAGCAAATTCCCTTTACATTATCTTGTTTTTAACTATTATAGTGAGAACTGCCAGCTCTTTATCTACTCTCCCATAATGTATCTTTAATCAAATATTTATTTAATATCGACATGTAAACTAATAACCAGGATTCCTGGGGGTTTTCTTTTAAGACAATTGAAATAGATACATGAATATATGTGTATGATAATCAACATGTAATATGACAGCATGGCTATTTATACATACATTGTACGCAGATCTCATAAGAAATATCACAATCTAATAATAATATATAGGTATCATTTGTTTAAATTATTAAATAGTGTACATGGTAGAAGGATGTAGAGAAATATACGTTATCAAATATCTCTGTTGTTCAGTGGATCAAGTTTTAAAAACCACGGAACATGCCTAGACCAGAATCAATTGTCATCATTTACCTTAAGACTAACCTCAAACCAAGCCATTTACTACTACGCTGATCAGATACGCATCATAAAACAACAATAGCTGTATAAGAACTGTAGATTTCTCATTTTCTAGACATACCACACTCATATTTACTTGAATTATTTTTTTTAAAAATATTAAGATATGAGATGAGATGTGTGTGTAATAATTTGATATTTTATATGTTATGGGAAGGTGTAAATCAAATAGTGGATTAAATGATTTCAATGACTGAATGATATCTCAGACTCTAACATCGACTGACAGTGACATCTCTTTG